TCACTTCTGACAGGTTATTGGCTACATCAGGTAAAGTGTTCACAGGTAGGCTAATAGTTGCATATAGAAAGAAGAGTTGAACTCACCCAAACTGGTGAAGGAACTCTCACAGCATTCCTTCTTAGGAAATAGCATAAGTCTAAGAAAACTTCTCACTTTAGTGGCTGGCTCTTATATGAGCCCAGGGTGGTTCCATCGTGGGTCCTCCCTTTCTGGTCAGGTGGGAAGCACAGGAGCAAACGATGTGTCTGTGCTCCCTGGGCCAACCACACCCCTTCACTGGGTGCTCAATTACCACTTCATGCCATGACCTAACTGTTGCTCTACATTGATGTTAATATGCAATATTTTGCAATATTTTGGAGTAGCACTAGAATAGGGTGTCACAACATGGAGACTGTTTAGTAGTAATGCTGAAACAATGAGGAAGTGCAAAGAAGAGTTTCAGCTGATGATCAGATATAGTATAGCTGAAGAATAACAATGTATTTTAGTGCTTGTTTCTTTAGCTTTGTTTTTATTACATCACTTTCTTTGGATTTTCCAATGCTTGCATTAATTCATATTTAGTCTGCTTTTTTGTTTGTTAGTAGGTGCAATGCTATACAAACAGTGATACCACCTCATCTAGTGTTCCGTGCCTGTCCCAACAGTTGGGTACCATAAGGCCTGTTAAGAATATGCTGCAATAAAAGCAGCCATTTTCTTCCTACTGTGACTTCCTGTTATTGCCTCAGCACGATTTTATGCACTAATTTTCTGTAAATTTTAGTTTTTGAAACATGCAGACATCATTCAGCCACAAAAAGTAAGATAATATCCTACAACAGAGCGTCCACAGGCTCCTCAGAGGCTCCTCTTAGGACCTCTCTCTTTTATCATAATGATTTGAAAAAAAAAAAAACCAAAAACTAAACATAAAAAGAACAAAGCAACACGTGCAGGTTATCAGGGCTTTGACAGAAGTTTTTATCTGACCTTTTGTGGACTTGAAGGGATCTAAATTAGTTCTGAAAGTAACAAACAATCCAAATATAGAGATTTTTGAATGAATGAGTAACTTGGAGTAAAAGAGAAACATTTTATTCAGGTTATAGTTGAATTTTTATTTTATTTTATTTTTTTATGTCAGGTATATTTTCTTGTGGGAAAGAAAATGATACTTGATGAGGGTAAAAAAAAAACAAACCACAAACAACAAAAAACAGAACCTTTTCCTCTCATGGCCAGAGTAAAGGCAAGATTTGCAGTCACATTTCTATCAGAATCAGAAAGAGAATAAACTAAAGGTAAGAACAGTTCAGTTATTTTCCATGTTCTGGGTGATTACAAACAGATTATAAAGTTTATGGTGGATTATCCATTCCTTTTTAGCTAGTCTAACAGGGTGCAACAAATGAATTTAGTGAGCAGCAGGAAGTAGGAATTATCAGTCTGTAATGTGTGGCAATTAACAAATTAATATATGTAATCAGATCAGCAAGTATTTTTATCTACAGGTATTAATGACAGCTACAAATAAAATGCTATCCAGTGCCCCAAATTAATGCCCTCTAAAGGTAGCTTTACAATCGTATCATCTTCTAAATAAGAATGGTAACAGGCACTAATAGCTGCTGTAGAGAATAGACACTGAAGAGAGCTTTTGCATGTTAACAATGACATAGAATACTGCATATTTAAGTATCTGCCTCTAAATTTGCCCAGAAAGTCTCAAAAATAATCCAGAAACCAGTAGACTTCTTCAGGATGTTTTATGAGTTTCTATGACTCATTAAAAGGTTGGCTGTACTAAAAAGAGAAATACCAGAAATCCAGGACCAAGCTATAAATCTGTATCTTTCAAGAGTTAAAATCTCACTTAAAATGAGTATTTGAAACATTTTAAATGGTTCCTCACCAAACATAATCAGTATTACAGATAATTGGAAGGGACCTTGAGAGATCATTGAGTCCAACCCCCTGCTAAAGCTTGCTCCCTACAATAGGTCACACAGGTAGGCATCCAGACTGGTCTTGAATATCTCTGCAGAACAAAAGCAACCTGCTCCAGTACTCCATCATCCTTACTGTAAAGCCTCAGGCTCCATCTCAGGGAATCAGACTGTGTCTGAGTGTTCTGAGGAGCACGAATTCAGCTGCTATGGGATTTGGAGTGCAGTTGCCAGCATGCTTCTGGTCTGTACAAGCAAGCTGTCTCCCAAGCAATCCCCAGGCGCAGGCTAGGTGTTAGAGCATCCCACAGCCCATTACTGCCAGAGGATTTGCATTCAGGCACCCTCCTCTGGAGGCTGTGTTTGTTTACTGCTCCACCAGTGAGGCAGCCTGTGCCAGTTGGCCTCCATGCCTGGGAACTGCTTAATTTGCTACCAGAGAAAGTCATGTCCCTTCCCCACCAGGAACCGCTGAGGGAGAGCAGTAGGCTTCAGGAGGATAAATACCAAATCTGTAAAGCTTCAGTCAGCTGGAATCACTCTTGACAAGTTCATAAAGATAGTGCTTTTTGCATTCTTTTTACAGACTGCATTCCCATTTCTTTAATCCCACTGCAACACAGGCTGCACAGTGTTCAGCTAAAACCTGAATGCAGTATGAGGTGTAGCAGGCTTTTATTCTGTATCTTGATTAATCCCATGAAGAATGTCCGGTGTTATGTTTCAAGGCAGCATACATCAATATCCCATATTTTAAGTCACTTGAAATCACTACCCACCACTTCCAGCACTGTCCTGCAAATCACAAGAGCACGTTCATTGAACATAGAATGGTTTGGGTTGGAAGGGACATTAAAGCCCACCTAGACCCAATGCCCTGTTGTGGGCAGAGCTGTCTCCCACCAGCTCAGCTGTCCAGGCCCACATCCAACCTAGCCTTGAGTGCCTTCAGGGATGGGGCACCAAAGCTTCTCTGGGCAGCTGTGCCAGCGCCTCACCGCCCTCTGAGTAAAGAATTTCTTCTAATCTAAATTTCATCCAACACAATGCATTTAACATGCTTCCCTGGAGGTAAGGCTGCAGTAAGGCGATGCCCCAAAGCAGACCACCCAGTAGTTTACTGTTAAGGCAGCCTTAGAGGTGTGCAGACTTTAAGAGCATCTGCAGCTGAAGAGAGACAAAATGGAAAGCCCAATGCCACCTGACTCCAGACTCCATGTTCTAGCCATTGGGCTGTCATACAGAACGTACAGCACTGACTTGGTAAGGAAGTATACTTTTGCAAGGCATACTTGCTTGTAAGCACTGACTATCAGAGAAGTCCAGATTCTTACAAGGCAGTCTTGCAATAAATCTGTAAGTCCTAATCAGAATGAGTTTTCAGACAAATCTATGTGTTACCAGTATATTTCCAACAGTTTTAAGTGAATAATTCTTTGGGACAATTATTCTAACTCTGCCTAGTACCTATACTCTGCTTTGGATTCCGCTCTTCAGACCCCGTCTCACAAAATTTAGTTGCGCTATGATGATATTATGGATGCTTACCCTGCCTGCACGTTGACTCTTAGTATGATTCCTGCCTGGGAAGAGTTGTGTGCCTCTCCAAAAAGGGAACCTGGGGTTGAGAGCCGGACTGGCTGGCACCTGAGCTCCCACTCCTCCAGGCCATACAGATGCAATTAGAGCCATTTGGATCTTTATATTCAAACACGGATTTCAAAGACATTACAAAGTACTACCTTATTTCCCCATGGGTAGCATGGGGTGTAGCAGAGCTTTTCTACCTTGCAGCTGTTGGGAAAGTAACACTCACATTTTGGAGTCGCTCAGACCGTACACTGTGGGAGCCACACCAAAACATGCAACCAAAGAGATGAAATGTGCTTGGCAGTGCAGACAGGGCAGAAAGAGGGAGTCAGTTATGGATCATTGACTCTCGGGACAGACATACCCTGCCCTACATCCCGAAAGCTTTATGAACACCAGCTGAGCATATAGCCTGGGGCAAGGTGCTCTCAGCTCTGCAGCACAGGAGCGGAGCGGGACAGGAGCCAGCAGTGGGCTGGGTGCCAGCTGAGTCCCCCAGTGCCAGGGGAATTCTCAGCTGGGAAAGCCTGGCTGCCTGCCGGCCTTCTTCCTCTGCGGCTATATATATACATGCATGTATGTATAGCAGAACTTTTAAAGGAATAATTATCTTCCATATGTCTTCTGATTTGACTAAGATTTTTATTTTTTATCTGGCCTAGTACAGAATAAACCTGCAGCTGCCTGATCTGTGATTACCCTCAGCTTTCATACAGACCAGACTTTTAAGCCACCATGTGGACAAAAATAATCTCTCTTCTCAGAAAAATGCAGCATAAATATCATGGTTGGAGTACATACACGTGAAAATATATACAGATAGGCACTCCAAAGTTTGGCAATAACAGAAAATAGCTTTCTGTATGCAGCACAGAAACAGGTGGCTGAAGATATCCCCTCCCAAAAGCAGAAAGGGGGAATACCTAAATGGATTTCAAGATAAAATTGAGTGTTCATTCCTTTCTCTATGGAAAAACAAAACAAGACCAACCCATTTTATTTGTTACCAGGTGTTTCTCACTTAATTCATTTCATTAACTTCTTATAACTTGTTCAGCCAGCTCTGCAGACAATTGATTTTTATTACTATATGCTTCAGTGCCTTTCTATGTTAGATTTTTCCATTTACAACACGGCTCTACAAATCTCTTTAAAATTATATTGCCTTGTTTCTCTTTTCAGAGCTTAGACTGCCTTTTCAATCAACCTTATTTATTTAGCACAGTCTTCTACAGGGCAAATATAACATAATATCAGACATTTACATGTATGGTAGCTGCTTTCACAGGTTTGATTTTGAAGTAATCATTAGGATACTGCTGCTGGTGAAAATTGCTGACAAATCAGAAAAAAAGCATGATTATGATACTGTAACTGATAGATATGAGATCCGAGACAATATTTGGAATGTACTTTCTAATGACAAATCAGCTTTTAACATATACAACCCAGGATACCATGTGAGAGCACTAAAAGTTGTTAATCAGATTATTTTCACCCTTTATTACACAGCTGGAGTTTACACTGATACCTGATGTTAAGACTGCCTAACTTTTCCCATTATAAAGACATTTTCAATCTCATTGCCAACACAGTAGGTTGACCTTTTCTGGGATTTATGTCATTTTGAGGTTTATTTCAAAGAAAAAAATATGAGAGTTTGGTTTTCAGACAAAATGTGTTTGTGATTTTCAAGAATGACCCAGTGAGGTAACAGCTACTTACTTTGTATGGACTCTCAGTTGCTTCACTTAAATAAAATGTCAGTTACCTGTGTCTCTTGAAATAAGAACTTGAGAGCTAGCAGTACCCTTGATGAGGGCCCACAGAAAAGCATCCACAGCTGGCCAAACTACGAGCCCCAGAAAAATCAGAAAATGCTCACTGATATAAATGGCTGGATATTACAGTTTTGTAGCTTTCTTCTTTGAAGATTCCATATTTACTCCTGACAAATTGCCAGGCGTGAAGAAAAAGATCGTTGGAGAATGCATACGTGGACCAAACCAATGCAATGGGGAACGTGAAACTGAAGAAGGAAATACAAGGAAATACCAGCTTGGCAAAGCAAAAAATGCTAGTGGGCACTGAAAAAAAAGAAGAAATACACATACATGTTAATAAAATAAGGATGAAGTTCTGTGCTGATGACTAAGAGCCCCAGCAGTCAACTCTCCTGAAATATCAGCATGCAGCTGTTCTCACCTTCCCCAGGAAAAGTCAGCATCAGGTTTCCATGCAGCTCACTACATAACTAGAGCCTCCATCCAGATACATGCCATTACAAAATCATTTGCTCTTCTCATAGAAGCGATATTACTCAGTTCACGTTACACAGGAAAAAATTAAGGCAACAACTCTAAAACACTTGTAAAAGAAATATGTTTTAAATTATTGACATTGCTAAAAACATTGTTGCAGAGTGTTTGTTTCCTAAGACTTATGTATGAAATTATTTGGTTTTTAATTAGGAAGATTTTATACTTTTTTCTCTCCTCTTTCCTTCTCACTGAATTTGTGATCAGGCTTGGGTTTTAACTCTGCATTTGCCACCATTTTTTTGTTTTGCTTTTGAAAACTCACAATTTCCATCTGCCTCTGCTGTCTACAGCAGCTGTAAAACAGACTTAAATGGATGTGACTTACTACTAACATACAGACCTTTCTGCATATACATTAGCAACTACATTTTGGTCCAGCTCAGCAGCTGCTGAATGTAGCAAAGACTGCAATTAGCATCAGTAAAGGACAATCCTCAGTATCTGCCTTTGATGAAACACAGCTTGGCATTCTCACTTTTCTTCTCTTGTACTGACAACTCGCACAACCCCAACGTTTTATGGTCATCTGCCACCTAACTAACACTTCATTAAGTAGAACACCTACAGTGATTTTAACTACAGCCAAGGTGATTTACTCACTAATGATTTACATTAGGCCAGCAGCTATAATCTTGTTGCCTCTGTCCTACTGTTAAGATGGAAAATAGATGAATAATTGATTTATTTTCCTTATTTAAATGAGGAAGGATATTAAATTCTTGTTATGATGTTGACTGATGTATTTTCAGGCTGATATATTCTTCAAATTCTTATACCTATAATTATAGAGAATAATTCATTCATTAATAGCAACTCTTTTATGGGTTTAGTTCAAGGTGCCAGAAAGGTATCCAAAAGCTTAATGCGAGGTTGGACTCTGAAACAAATAAAAAGCTATGTGATTATTATTTGCATTTCAACAAAATAGTTAAAAGAGAGGAAAAAGAGTTATATCAGAAAAAAAACAACAACAGCAAGAAACCTATTGCACTGGCAAACAAAAGCATAAAAATAATGTAACTATTAAAAAATAATAATAATTCAGGCTAGTGTTAGAAGCTCGGTTGTGATCATAGGTCTAGCTATGTCTCTGTGTACAGAACTGCTGGGCAGCATTCACCAAGTCTTTGGATGCTTGAATCATAGAATCACTTAGGTTAGAAAAGACCACCAAGATCAAGTCCAGCCATCCACCCAATACTACAAGTTCACTGCTAAACCATGTCCCTTAGCACCGTGCCCTCAAATACCTCCAGGGATGGTGACACTGCCAACCTCCCTGGGCAGCCTGTTCCAATGCCTAACCATCCTTTCTGTAAAGAAATTCAACCTAGTATCCAATCCCCAATGGAATAATGAGTGCCATTAAAAGGAATTCTTCTGAGCATCTCAGTATCTGCAGTTTCCTATTTCTGTTGTTCTACCCTTTGACTCTTCATTTGAATCTATTTTTCTCATTATTTTTTTCCTTAGTAATAATAAGTTAGTTTCTTCCTGGATCATTTTTCTGTAGCTTGTCCTTTACTATTAAAATAATCTTTCAGGCTAGTTGTAGCTCACTTATTTCTCATATAGAATTTACTCTATATCTCTCTGACCATCCTTCTTGCCCTTCCCAAACTTTCTCCAGACCCTTGTCTTGTTTAAGACAGTAAGGAGGGCTAGGCCAGAACTGTACAACATATTACACATGTGGTAAAATCAGAGATTTACATATTGGCAGAGCGACATTTTCTCTTCTTTTCATTATTCTCTTAATGACTCCTAACATTTGATTTAGTCTTTCAATCACTATTGAGCACTAAGTGATGTTTCTGTGTGACTATCTATCATAACTCCCAACTCTCACTCCAGTCAGCTCAGAGCTCATGTAAGTGAAATTAGGAGTTCTTCTTTCCGTTATGCACATCACTGTTCAATTACCTGCACCAAATTTCAGCTGTCATTTTACTGCTCTGTCACTAAATTTTACTACCCTGAATAAATTATATAATCAAATTTGATTACCTCATTGCTACTGTGCTTTCCAGTCCTTTATGAATATGTTGAACAGCAAAGGTCCTAACACAAATCTTATGGAACCTTGTCTGTCACTGCTTTCCACTGCGAATACAAACCATTTAATCTTCCAACTATCTAACCATACAAGGATCTTCCCTTTTATGAGGTGGTGCTGAGTTTTCCTTGCTGGACTGGGTTATAAAAATCCAACAGTATGTTTTTTAAATTTTGGATTCAAGTTTCAGTGTGTGTGTATTCATAAGTTTGCTTGCCAAAGTGGTGAGTTTTTTAGCATAATTAGGTTATTATTTAAAAAAAAAAAACTAAAAAAATACATATATATATAGCATTATATCACCACTAAGAAGGCTTACTTCTTCTTTCATCCTCTTTGAATTGTTCTGTTATTGTTTTGTTATTACAGTCTTCCATGGATTATCTTTCTCCAGTCAAGCTTCCTATATCTATACATTGTCACTTCTTTCATTTAGGGCAAGACTCACTTCCCTCATGCAGGATCTTACATTTCAGGAGCTTGTATCTGACATGATTTCTTCGTTAACTGACAGTCTGCCTCCACTTCCTCTCTGACCGGTTTCTTTCTGACTGATGTATCAGAAATCCCATAATTGTGTAAGGTTTCATTTCAAACTATCTTTTTCTGCACCTACTGGCTTTCTCACTACTTTTTAATTTAAAAGCTCACTCATGATTTTTGTGATTAAAGTGCCCAAAGCCTGCTTTCCTTAGAAGAGGTCCACCCCTCTCACACAGCCTGAGTGTACTGAGGCAGATTCCCAACACTTGATAAATGTGACTCCCTGATTTTTTGCACCTACAATATATGGCTGAGGAGATGACGTTTGTGTTTGGCATCAGAATTATTATGCTTGCAAAAAACACATCAATATATACACTCTAAAATTGGGTTGGTACCATATCTCAATTGTAGTTCCCTCCTTCCCACAAGGATGTCAGCATGACCAAGGGTCACAAGCTGTAGGGAGAGGAAAAATCAATGACAGAAGGGTAGGGAGGGAATTTCTGAGTGAAAACAGCCATCAGATGACTCTGCAGTGTGCATTTACAACATCCTGAGTACTCTGTAAACCACAGTGCACCTGCACATGAATTAACACCATAAAAATGCAGAAGAGTAAAGTCCCATATATTGTTTGTAATCACAAGTTTTGAAAATTACTAGGTTATGAATGCGAACATTCAGCTAAATATACTGACTTACAAAATGTCAGGCTTACGTTTAAAACAAGAATACTATTATCAGATTTTTATAATAAAAATAAAACGTTTCTGCTTTTTTAGGAAATATTATTGCTTACTTTCCTCATTTTACCTTCCCCTGCAAGCACATACATACTTCCTTTTTTTTTTTTCCCCTCACTGTGGGTTCATTTATATTAATAAATACCATACGTGACAGTGTGACACTGTCATAAATAAGTAAGAAAAATATATGTCTGTGAAACTCTAAAAATCCTTTAGCTACCTGTCTACATAAATTATGAATAAGCACTGTTTGCACGCTGCAGCTACAATCTCCCCACTTGCTCACTGATGCTGGAAAATATTTGTTTTCTAATTTGTTGGGATTAAAATGTTTATTCTGAATTCCTATTTCAGAGCAACTCCCACAAATAGTGCTGCCAAATCTGGAAGTTTGCTTCTACTGAAAAAATTTTTGGACAACTCCTGTGCACTTGAGTTGTCAAGCTTCTGCTGTCTACACAGCATCTGGATACAAAACAGAGCTCAATAATGTGTCCAAACGCAAGTCTTCTATTAAAACAGAAAGAAAGAAAGAAGAAAGAGGAGGAGATAAAAACAAAAGGCAACATAAAATAGAAAACATCAACTTCAGCCTATCATAAGACATCACGACAAGGCAGCATAGAAACAGGAAATTAAATGCCAAATACACAGCAAAGCATCAGTAGGTTATGAAGACTCCTCTATTATTACTTGAACACAGAAAGCAAAATTGCAGTGACAAAAAGATTTAAATTACACTGTGCATGAACAAAAGCCACAATGATCGTGTAATTACAAAACAATAATAATTCCACGCACAAAGAAAATATACAGTAAAAGCTTAGAGGCTGGAATTTGTGCTAGGACAGATAACACAAACTAATGCCACCATAAAAAGCATGAAAGTTAATACAATAAACTTTTAGTAAGTAACTTTAAGCTTAATCAAAAGGAAAACAGAACCCAAACTCTGTACTGTCTAGTGTAGACAATACACTTTGGCATCTCTGCAGCAGAGCTGCTGGAAGTCCAGAAGAACTGGAATGTCTCCCAGGCACGTTACACCAACAGCCAGTGGAGTACGTGCACCACAAGATGGAAGCAATGAATGCAACAGAAATGGCACACCTCTAGTCATGAATCCTTGGACTCTCTTGGCAATAACTGAACATTTAGAAAAGCTGGTCAAGTGAACTGTGATGTCTTGCTCAGTTTCAAAAGCCTAACAAGCCTTAAAAAATCAGTGTAGGACCCAACATAGATAACTTTTTTGTAGGGACACATAGCCATCAATTATATCTCCAACATTGGTAAGGAACTGTTTTTGTCTTTTTGGGTTAATCAATAGCAGGTGAAAGTCATAAAAATAAACATATCTAAGTTTAGCTGCATACATTAAGAGACTGCTAGATTTTATGTTCTTACTGGATCTCTGTCCCAGAATACACTAAGATTTCAGCTGTCATACAGTTCTACCACCTCAGTATTGCCATATACCATATCTCAGTATTCTAATTTATTTTCTCTCAAAATACTGAACTGTGCATGCAGCTTTGTAGCCAACAACGAGAATTTCATGGATATTATTCAAGTGGATAAAGTATTTTCAGTTACCTCTTTAATCATCATTATTTTTTTAATGAGTATGAACATTAGATGCATACCAAGTATTAATTTTTTATCAAAATATTTTCCACTTAGCACTTTCAGAAGCAAGTTGGCAGGGCTGGAAATCCAAGTCCATTATCCAAGCAAAAGCAAACCAAGAAAGAGTAGGAGGCCTCTGTCTTTGATAAATGAACAGAGCATCTCAGCGAAGCTGAAAACATTAATCTTTCTTTGGGAATTAATATATTACTACTGAAAAACTGGTTCTTTAGTGAAATTCCTCATACAAAATGTATACTGCAGTTCTTGTAATGCATAATTTCAGCAATTACCTACAGGCCAAATGTACACCGTGTCTTTCTATTTCTTTTTGCTGTTTTATCAGTATGAAAGAAGACTTAATGGTATTTCCACATTACCGCAAATTCTAGATCAGACTACGTCCTATAAGCATAAAATTTGTCTTTTTGATGCAGCTTATTTCATTTTGGTAACGCATATAAAGTCCTAACTGCATCCACTGCTTTGTGTCCGCAGTAGGGAAATGTGCTGGTATAGCTATCAAAAAGCCCTTGTGTGGAGGCCTGGCTATCCTGGCTATGTACGATATGGTGCTGGCCTTTATTTCTGTCACCTCTGGCTGAGCAACTAGTATTTCTGTCTCTGAGATTGTTGTGAAGCACTGTCTTGCTGCTGCTGCTGCTGCTGCTGCTGCTTGGAAAATATGGGCAGAGATTTGTTACATAACCCAGTTATTTAAAAAGAAAAAAAAAATCTTTATAAAGCATATCAAAACACTTTCAAAAGGATATTTCTGATTGAAATTTTCATGGAGAGATTAATGGACTCGTGCAAATTTAAAATTTGTGCCAGAGAGAAAACTTGGTGTCACTGCTAAGTACTATATTTCTTAATACAGCCAGTAATTTTCCATCTCCTCTGAAAAAGAACAGCTGAAACATGATCTGACAAATACAAATGATCTATTCAAATTAACCAAATCCAAACTGAAGTTAGGCAGCATGCAAATTTTAGCCCAAACAGTTCAAGTACATAAGCAACTGGAGACAGCATGTTACAATGGTAAAGGACCTGACTACTGTCACACTAAACAGCACTCTACCTCATAAATAGCATTACTGAGATGTTTCACCAGATTTCACATTTGCCTTAAAATTTAGTAAAACCTAAAATTCAATTTGTTCTGGGGCCTTGTGTCAACCTCATGCTTTTTGTAGCCTTTGTATTCTTCATCTGTAGTCAAAAAAGCAAGCATAATTTGTGTGTGTGTGTGTGTGTAATTTTAGGTCTGACACTAGCTGCTTTCCTTCCTAGAAATTAGCAACAGCAGATAAAATTCATGATGGAAGGAGTTAAAGGCCAACCATCTGACTAGCACTCTCCCTGTATTACATTACAGATTCCCTCCGGGGAACAGACCCATGTTTCCTTTGCATGGAAAGCAGAGCGTGACTAATGGTCTGCAAGGCTCTCACCTGAAAAGGCACTGGCTTGTAACACTAGGGCACATCCAAAACCTGAAAAGTTCTGTGCAGCACCTCCAGAATAATGCAACAGACTTTAAAGAGAAACTGCTGGGGGTTATTTTATTCTTTACAAAATGCAACATTTTAAAAATACATTGAAATACCAGCATTTCTTCAAACAGATTCACTCAACACGAAGAGCAACAGTTTCAGTTACGCATTAAGTTCCTTTCTTCCAGGAGCTGCAAAGCGCAGCTGGAAAATATGTCAACCATATAGACTAAGAAAGTAAATCACACAGATTAAATAGCTTCGGTAGACTGAAAATGGCTGTAAACTCAAAGACAGTATTTTAGACATCTGAGTTAGCACTTCCTTATTAATAAAGTTATTTTTATATGCCCTTCAACATCTGTTCCATATATTCTTCATAAAAGTGTTACTTTTCTCTTTCAACACCAGGGGCTCCTTGAAGGTCTGAAGCAAATTTTGATGTATCTTCAGCTGTTATGCAAAGCTAATTTTGCAAGGAATGAAAGTGATGCTGAACACTGACAAGCACCAACATACCACATAAATTTGGGACACACTTTTGTGTGTACAGGCTTTCGTGGTACAAAATTAACCCTGATTGTATGTACTAATTCTGAACACTAAAATACATGCAGGGAACAGTAATGCTGAAAAGCCAATATAGAAACTTACCTTTTGCATTAGATTTGAAAAATGACATACAATTTTTGCTAATATCAGTCCAGACAGAAGGTGCTGCATATACTGTCCTGCTTTCTTTCATGTGAAGTACATTTCAGTTCCATGCAAAACTGCGACAGAACTCATGATTCAAAGTGCTTAATCCTAGTGCAGAGCTCACGTAAAATACAGATAATCCTACAGCTAAGTTAGAGCAGAAAAAAAACTAGTAGTTGGAATAACGAGCTTGTGCAAAGGGTTTTTAAGATAGCAATTCAGTTGGGTTTCCTTGTTTGAGAATCACGTCTTAGGGTCTAATTGAAATCTTGTGAACAGATGCTGCCTTATCCCATGGAATTGTAGGCTGTATTTAACTGCTGAAACGACCAACAACTGTAGTAACGTTCAGCATAGAACAAGCCTACCACCACAAGAGGCCACTGCTGCTCTTCGCGTTTTTTCGACGTGCAGCTGGGCTCCGAGCAAGCAGACAGCTGCAAGGAGCCCCAGGCAAAAGTCACAGCAGTTGCAACCCTCCTTTTCCTTATTTATGCATCAATGCTGCACTTCTGCAGAAAAAAATTGAATTCAGTACTTTTTTTTTTTTTTTTAACTGGCAGATAGAAGAAGAAATTTTCTAAATGCGCTTATCCAATCAGCCTTCAGGAAGAAATGAAAACTTGCATTCCAAAATGCTGATTTCTCTCCTTGATATGATTAAATCGTGTAGCTAAAGGCAAGTATTCAGATATAATTTAATGAGATATTTGAAAAGCATTTAATTAATCGCTGACAAAAAAACAGCTCCTTACGTTTCCAACAGAAGATGATAAAAGAATTATGAAGGCGTTATCAATATTTGATGATGAAAAAAAAAAACACCAGTAAATAAAATTCTGTTGCTACAGTTTACAGGTACCAGTACCTTGCCTACTATTTAATTTTGATCAATGACTTGAAGTACGTATTTAATTATATTTCCAGAGAAATACTGAAATACAGAAAATGAAATAAAAGCAGTAAGCAATGAAGACAGGGACATCGAACTTGCTTGATCAACAAGGCCCGTGCAATATTAAATGCATTTTAATAGAGGACACTGAAACACTACACGGGCTGAAGTAAAGAAACTAGCCATATGTTGGCCGCGTGGGGTGGGGGGAGGAAAAGAGGGATATCCTAGAATGTAGCAAGAAGAATTTGAGCATCTCAACAGCTGAGTAACTGAACGGCCTTGAGCACCTCCAGGGATGAGGCATCGCAGCTTCCCTGGGCAGCAGTATCAGCACCTCACAGCCCTCTGAACGAAAACACACCTATTTTGAGTACTTGAAATTAAAAGGTGCAGAAGGAAAATCTAACTCTGAAAGCCTTAGGATTTGAAAGAGGCCACGCTGTTCAGATAATGAAAAAAGCTTAATGAAAGCTTTATGAACTCTAACAGGGAACGCAGCACTTCCATTGGAAGCAGTGAAAGCCACCAAGAGCTAGAGCGAGATACCAGCGAAGCATCTCCTCCACGCGCCCACCACGCCCACCCTCTACAAGCCGAACCCCACTCAGACCCCAACCGCTACGCCCTCTACGCATGCGCCCCCTCCCACCGCACTCTTTGTTCCTCGCGCATGCGCGTCTAGCTCCCCTTTCCCTCCCTCAGCGCGCCTGCGCCGCTCGGCCTCGCCGTGAGTGCGCTCCTTCTCTTTCCTCCGTTTCCCACCGCAGCACATCCCCAGCGGGCCCGTGTGCGCCTGCGCCGCCCGCCCGCCTCGTGTGCTCCCAGGGCGCCGAGTCCCCACGGTCGGCGCTCAGGGTCGGGTCCGTTCTTCTCTTCCCCGCCCCCCTCTTCCTCCTCCTTCCGCCAAACGTCGCTGCGCGTGGCTCTGTGTGTGCGTGTCGTGTGCGCGTGTGTGCGTGCGCGCTGGGGGGGGGCGGGGGGAGGGAGGGGGCCGCCATGCCGAGGGGGCGGCCTCCCAGCGCCAGCGGGGACAGCGGCACGGCCGGCGCCCGGGCAGGTAAATGGCGCGGGTGGGAAGAGCGGGGCGCGGCCGGGAGCGGCGAGGAGAGGGGAAACCTCCGCGGGTTGCGCATATAGTCCCCGGATATGGCGAGGGGGGGAAGGCCGGGTCTATTGTGCGAGTGTATGGGCGAGAGGGGAGGGGAAGGAGGCAGCGCGGCCCGGCCCTGCGGAATGATACGGAGGCGGCGGAGCCGTGGCCTGGCGCCGGGCGGGAGGCAGGGCCTGGGCGCGGGCCTCGCACTGCCTGCCCGCCGGCCGGGAGGAGCGGGCCAGGGCGGGGGGAGCCGTCCGTGCTTGGTGTGCGTGGGGAGAGCTGAGGGAGGGCTGCAGGCAGCTTCATTCCCGAAAGGAGGCCTTTTTTTTTTTTTTTAGGTTTTAAAATTCTTCTTTGTGAGCTCGTGTATTAAAGCAGACCTTCTGTGTTCCCAACCGACTACGAGTTTGTCTCACGCTTTCCGTCGTTTCTTGCTTGTTTTATTGCCGTGTGGACGCCCCGGGGCAGGCTCGCTGTGGTGGCTGTGCTGACAGCGCCTCAGGGCTGAGAGCTGGGATTCGGTGGGGCCTTTGTGTGGTGCATCCTGCCCGCGTTACGGGGCACGGCCCCGCGCTGTGAATCGGCCCCGCAGGCTGCTGGCAGTTGTGAGCTCCTGCACTGATGGCACGGGCTGTGGATGGGGGAGGATTGAGTCTGAGGCAACCCACCAGCACCTGGTGGCTGTACTTTGCTCGTAATTGGGCCATGATGTTAGACTTCTCCAATGTTAAGATGTATGCTTATAAGGGGTTGCCAGATTGATGGCTAGTCTAGTCATACGTTGTATTTTCAATGTTTTAAACAGAAGAAACCTGCTAGCTTATTAATGAAATTATGTCATGGGGTTGTTTGCAGGTGTCAGTTCAGAATTACAGGGTCTGGGGCTCCCACAGGGATTCGGAAACATGCAGACTGCAGTTGCAAGGACTCTGCCCCACATAAGCAAATATTCTGGGTTCTGTAGACTTCAGCAGTCTGCAAGAATCAGTAATGTCAGTGTTGTCAACTGTAGTATGTTCTCTGCCTTAATGTTTGGCTGAGAAAAAGGCTTAAATGAAGAAACTGGCTAAACAGGACAGCTTGAATTGAGGTAAATGATATTCCCAGGACAGTTGGTTCCTTGTCCCACTCAGGAACAGGCTAACAAACTTGGAGAACTGATTGTGAGTCCCACAGTCTTTCACTTGAGTGGGAAAAATTTTATTAGGAAAACAGCTGTTTGCAAAATAGATGCTATGTCTTTTGCTTAGGAAACTACATGTGTAGGTTTTCTTCCTTGTCAGTGTTGCCCAAACAGTTCTTATCCTGGTACTCGAGTGTCTTTCCCGAAAGAGAGAAACTGATCTCTGTAGTTGTGCAGTCTGTACGTGTATGGCAGTATGGCGTCGTTTGCAAGGAAGTGAAGGTGGATCAGTCATGCTTTGTTGTACAACTTCTCTAATTACTTTGAGTTCATGGGTGTCAAAGATTAGCCAAGCTCTTTGTTCCAGGAAAATTAGAGGTGATAAATGGAAATCTGAACTATATGCAGAAATAATAATAAGTACCAAATCTAAGCTTATGCATGAGGGCATGTGTTGTGTTTTTGCTGGAAAAAGACAGCCTTAGATTGCCCTGGTGTTCTTTAGTTCCTCACTATGTTTGTAATGAATCTGTGCCTTTTCCCCCAGTAATTGAAGCAGTTCAATAACCTGCGTTTAAGTTCTGTCTGTGTGTTAACCTAACTACCATGTTCTGCCTTTCTCTGTATCTTTCTGGTGCTCATTATTTTGTTCCCTGTTGCAATTGCACTCACACCTTCATACCTCATTCATTCCTATGCATTAAGTGTTTTAAAGAATGATTAGATTTCCATTTCAAACCTGTCAGATCTTTTTTCTGCTGTGATTGGGTTGTGCTTTCTCTCAGGGAGAGGGAAGTTCACCTAACAAATTACTTGGTTCATTCTTAAGTTTCTGTTGACAGAGTAGTGCCTGGACATAGGTCAGGGTCTGAATCGTGTAAAAGCAAACCTCTGAAAAGCTCTAGCTTGGTGTCAAATATGCAGCTATCCAAAAAATGTAGTTTCTAGTTTAGAATATTAAGCAATAAATGTAGCAATATTTACCTGAACATCTAATGAAAGTATCAAGTTTGGTTAAGGAAATGTCAGTTTTTGTATACCTGTGTAGATTGCGGAAATGTGGGCTATTTATGTTATCCTTTTTACCTTGGCCTGCAAAACTCACATTTTCCCTTAGTTCTCTGCAGAATAGAAGAACAGAAGTGAGAAAAACCTTGTGGCTTGAGATGAGGATACCTCAGTAAATGAAGGAAGATAGAAAAAAAGAGGGGGGAAAAATGCTATGAAAGGCAGTCACTTACTGCTCTCACCAGCAGACTGATGCTTAGCCATCTTGGAAGGACTGTCCTGAGTTGGTTTTTTTTCTGCTGAGCATGCTGTTGGATGGCATGGCCATCCCCTTGGCATTTGTCCCCTCCTGGCCTTCTGTTCACTGAGGGGTGAAGAGAGAGAAGCAGGCTGCATTCATGCTCTACCAGCAGCAGGAATGAAACACTGGTGTGTAATAAGCACTGTTTTTTGTCACCAGTCTAAAACATGGCACTATACAGGCTGCTTATGACAACGTTAACTCTATCACAGCCAGACTAAGTGCTGTCTAGGTTGCACTGAACCAGATACAACAGAGCTGTTCATTCTGTGTCCTATCAGGCTCCTCTGCCACCTGCAGTGTGGCCATGAAACTTGGGGAGGCCTGGGTGCTCCAGAAAGAAAGGTGGCTGCTTCGTGTTGACAAGCAGGACAGCTGGCATCTGAACATCCTTCTCAGCAGAGTGCCTCTGGGAGCTGAATGTCTGCACTGGTACTGCTTAAATTCTGGGTTGAATATTGACCAAAAATAACAAAAACTACCTTTTAAAATATATAGCAGGTCCTTATTGGTTTCTGTATTTTGGCTCAGTGCATGGGCAGAGAGTTGAGCGTTCTTCCTGCTCCTCCCATCAGCAATTGTGAAGAATTACTATTTGTTGCTTTTTGTTGAAGAAAGTGCTGAGTTAAGTTTAAACAAATCCAGTTCTTTCATGATTGCAGAGCTGAGCAAAATGTTTTAATGATCTTATGTTTTAATGTTTTAATGTGATCTAATGTTTTAATGATCTTATATCATTATTCATTATTGTGATTTCTGACGGGGCATGAGGAAATGTCAATATTGCTGTCCCTGTTTTGGTCTTTTGTTCTACCTCTGTTCTCTTTCTTTTATTTTTTTTTTAATTCATAAATTCAGTAATAAGCTTTGATAGGGTCAAACACTTGAGTCTCTAGACTTGCCAGCTGCTGGGTAACTTCAGTGGTAGATTTTCATCAACAAATTCCATGGGCTGTGTTGCATGGAATTGTCTTCTTAACCTGATGCTGGCAGGCTATTAGAGATGTAATAAGGCTGTGCCGTGTTTACAGCTGAATGAGCCCATCTGTGCCTTGCACAGAGAGCTGTGTTCTGCCATGAGGCACAGTGCTGCTTATGTATGGAAGAAATGTTCAGGAGTGCTCTAATTCTGTCTTCCTCCATCCGCACTGAGGTTGTATCAGTGGCTTAGGGCCGAGGGCACCTGCCTGCTGACTCATCCTGAAGTCCATTGTTCTGAAGGCACTGTCACAGGGATCTATAGCTGAGCTTATCCAAAACTTCATGGCTGATGCTCCACGAGGGGCAAAACGTTTCCAAAGAACTTGAAGGCAGTAGCATTCAGAATGCTCAGATAGAATCAAGAATCCTTAGAGTTGGAAGGTACCTCTGAAGGCCATCTAGTCCAGCTCCTTTGCAATGAACAGGGACACCACAACTATATCGGGTTGCCCAGGACCTGATCCAGTCTTGCCTTGAAAGTCTCTCGGGATGGGGCATCATCTACGACACTAGGTAACCTGTTCCATTGCCTCACCATCCTCACTGTAAAAGACTTTTTCCTTATATCTAACCTAAATCTACCCTCTTCGAACTTGAAACCATTTCCCCTTGTTCTGTCACCACAGACCCTGCTAAAGAGTCCCCTTCTTTCCTGTAGCTCCCCTTTAGATACTGAAAGGCTGCTCTCAGGTCACCTCACAGCCTTCTCTTCCATCTTTATGCCTGTCTTTATGCCTGTGTTGTTCTCTTTGATACTTTCCAAGTCTGTTTTTTTTTCCTACCATTGCACTATGGACAAAGTGCAAGAATACAAACAGAAGTCTTTGGTGGTAGCGCATAATGAACTGGGTGCTTCCTATTCAGTTTGATTGTATTGATAGGCAGCTGTCTGTCTTAAGTTATGATGGAATTGATTTACGTTATCACTAGAGAAATATTGAAATTGCATTCATGCCTTAAAGTTTTTGCACTGTTTCTATACAGTTAATAAATGACAGTGATTTAAACTTCAGTCTTGCTTGGTAAAGTTTATCATCTGTTGAAGTATGCAGACCTGAGAGCAACGTTTCAGGGCATTTCTTTAGTCTGATGTTCACTTTGTGCCTTGTGTGTGTATGTGTTTATGTTTATGGGATGTCAATAGATAGCAGCTCTCTAGCAGGAGAATGCCACGTCTTCATGTGATTGTTTTAATTGAAGTAATATGCTTAGTGAGTTCACCTATTCTCTGTAATATATTCAAGGAAATCAAACTTAGTTCTTTGTTGTTGAGTTGAATAGTGTTCTCGTATCTTTGTTAGCACACAGCAGAATTGTGTTGTCATCTGGACAGAGTATATCTAAGACAAACAGATGGCTTAATCTCTGTACCAAATATTTACAATTTTCTGGGAGCTTAGGCACCATATTAAGTATTTATGATAGAGTTGCTAATTGTGACAATCAGATGCTTTATCATCTGCATCAGTATTTGTATTTTTTTTCCTTTGGTAAGCAGGGAACTCTATCTGTATGCTATTGCTGACTTGCTGAAATAGCATCGTCACTATTTTTGGGTTTTCAAAGCTACAGACCTTTACATTTGGTTCAGTAGTTGTCAGCATTGGCCTTGTTTCATGGCCCATGATGCATTTAAAAGTGTTGCTGCTTTGAAATAATTCAGTAAACCTGGATTTTGTTGAGGATTTCCCAGAAATATGGTAATGCAGGTTAATACTTTGACCTGCTGTGAGGATGACATACCAGCATGAATATTGTCTTTATCTTGTTATTAACTGTTTGCACAAAAAGTTGTCAAGCTGTTACTTCGTTTTCATAGCCATGACAACATCCCCAAACCATACCTGGAGTCTGTGATGACCGACAGGAAAGTTATGGTCTGTCTCACTTGTTACTTCTTTTATTGTCAATGTCTTCTCTGCTTTTGTCTTTCTTATTCAAAATACGTAACATTTTGTCCTTGCTGTTTTCAAATCTCTGGATTTCTGTGGGGATATTGTTTCGAATGCTTCCCTTATTACTAGAAGAATGAAATAAAAAGTCACGACCTGTGTCTTTAATAGAAAGGAGCTATGTGGCTCTTAGAATATCCTGTGTTTAGCTGGTTACAGAGAACAAACAGGATTTTTGTGAGAATATAAGTGGAAAAAAGATTATTATAATTTCATAGCTTTCCCTTAAGCTATTTCAGGCAGAGTGATAAGGAAGAAAAGAAATGAGTATGTTCTAATTCTAATCTGCGTTACATCTCAGTCCTATCTTTGGCTGGAAGTGGAAACGGAAGTCCCAATGGGGCTGTTTTTCTGCTTATACTGGCTGTGACTACTTAGGGCAACATTGAGCTCATCTTCAGTAGTGGAGATGTCTGAAATTGAACCTAAGTTTGTTTGCTGTACCTTATCCCTAAGGCCTTCTGGTGCATTTCTGCAGTAGGAGCCCTCTGCCAAGCAGCCTCCTTCAAATGTATTGTGCAGTCCAGTCACTGAGTCTCAGGCCCAGTCCTGACTCCCCAGGCTTCTTCCTTTTGCTCTTTGAGGCACTGTGAAAGATATAAGATTGTAGGATTTGGCTTTGCAAAGAGTTACAAAGGTTTCCTTTTAAAGAAAAATGCTTGAGATGTTACATGATGAAAGCAGTGAGTTTTCTAAGTGGGTGCCTTCTCTCTCCTGGGAATGTTAGGGCCTCTAGGGAGCTGGAAAGGTTTCCAGGCAGCCTTGGGTTTGTGCTTGCTCTTGAGAAATTCTTGGCACTTCTGTGTGGGCTGTGATACACTGAGCTGCTGATTTACCAAAGTTAAGGCCATTTCTCTATTCTTTCCTATGAAATTCTGCTGCAAGATGTTCAATTTTTAATTAATATATGGTTCCACTGAAATCTTTAGTGAATTCTTAAAGAAGATGCCTAGCCTGTAGATTAATTAATGTTCTGCTTGATGCAGATATGATGCACACCTTAATAAAAACATAAAGCGTATAAATATTATTGACCTGGAAAGTAACTAACCAGGTATCTAGTTACTAGTTACACATAGGAATGAACATGTTGCTTGCTTTGACTCGCACTGCAGGGAAGTTAGTACCTTTGGTTGTATGAAAGTTACATTTCTGCTTGCTCAGTTGCTGCAGCACTGTTTTAGTCTGTTATCTGCTCTCTTTGATCTCAGGAGTGAATGCTCAAAGGTAGTAATCTCTTGGGTTCACAGAGAATTTTTTCAGTCCTCAATTAAGAGAGAGGTCAGGCCTTCATTGGGTTGAACAATTATTCCAGTTTCCATAGGACAAAGTTTTCTTTGTTAAGTCTCCATGTTGTCCACGTGTTGGAGTAAATTTTCCTTTCATTCCTCCTTTTTTTATTTTCATTTTCTGTTTTTTTTCATGTCATGCCAGTATTATTGATACTGTCTGCATGTACTCTGAATTTACAACAGGGATTTCTTTAAAGGATGCAGTAGAAATACGCATGCTTAAGTTCTGTGGTGCTTGCATTATCATGTCTGTAACAGAACTGTGTGAAAACTAACTCTACAAAGTGAAAGTTAACTGGGTGATTTGGATAGCCCAGCAATGGGAAATCTAAGTTCCCTGGCTGCGGTTTTCAGTTATGATTTCTCACTGATGCTGTCGTGTTCTGAAACATTATGAAGAGCCTCCTTAACTACAAGCTTTCTAAAGTTATTTTTGAGGATTTTAGTGGGAAGAAAAGGTAGTCAGGGTGTAAGGTACTGTTTTTTTATTTTTTCCCCATGTGAATGATGTGTTAAATGATAGGGGGCTTGAAGGTGGGAATAGTACTGATCAGAAGTTCACTATGAATTTGCCTCTTAGAGGAAATGTAAATGGGATACTGTATGTTGTGTTGCTTCTTCCTGTGCCTCATACTTATGAACATGGAGAGAGGCGTTGGCAATTTTAAGGGAAAGCGTCATGTCTTGCATGACAAGATAATGAAATCAGTGCTCTTTTTTATTTTTTTGTCTCGTTGCATTCTGTTGTTGATTCACTTTGAGTTGTGGCAGTGTTTGAAGCAGAATTCTGTGGTTCTTTTTTTTTTTCTCTTTAGTGTCCTCAAGCAGCAGCGTGAGTCAACAGAGTTTATTTTTGTTTTATTAATGCTGTTTTGAAGGACCTCTTGCCAGTTTTTCCTTAACGTTTTACTTGCATAAAGATAGCTTACCTTGCAATATAGTATGGTCTCAAGTGTAAAATCTGTTCATGTTACTTGGAACCTTTGAGTTTTCGATTTAGTTGGGTTTTTTTCCTGTTAAATATTTGAGATAAAAGAAAAACATTGATAGAACTGACTTCTTCAATCTGAGAGAATACTGACTTATGTATCAAAATATCAACCTATGTATCAAAAGCTGTATTGCACTGGGCATTCAGAACAAGAAAACTGTATGTGTTTGGACCAAATTTATTAAAACTGTTTTCTTTGAATTCATGTGACTTGCATTTTATTACATCTTTCTCAGCTTCTTGAAACTTTAGTGTTGGTTTTACAACAATAAACAATATTTTATGTTGCCAGAAATATTAGAGACAGAAGATACTTAAATGATCTGAAAGAGGGAAAAGAAAAAAGAAAACGTGGGGGGATCTGGGGGTGAGGAAAGGTGCAGAAATACAAGTAGGCAGAAGTGCTGACTGTTGTTGCATTTTAAACATGTGATATAATAATATTGAAAGTAACCTCTGTCAGTGTTTTTGATCTCATACCTAGTGCATTTGTCAGCATTTCATTTTGTTGCGAAATTGATGGGTTTTTATGAAGTACAGAAGGAAATAATTATAATTACAAGGAAAAAGGTGATTTTGTCCTTGAGAACAGGCATTTACAGGGATGGTTGTATTCCTGTGATGTGGTGTGAATGGAAATAGCAATGTGCTTTATGCTTGAGATCTTCAAGTTCCAGTGCAGTTACAATCTTGTCAAAAACTTGCAGGAATTAGAATAGTTTCTTCTTTGAAAAACTCTTGTTTTTACAGTACCTTATAAGTAAATGGAATGGGGCTCCATACGAAATGTTTCCATGCTTGCTTTGTAGATGGTGTGCTGACACCGAATATAGAGAACGGTGATTTTCCCTACCAAGTACCCAGCTTCCCTAAGTGTGAGATCTGTTTGCTGTCTTTCCCAAAAGAGACCCAGTTCCAGCGCCATATGAGGGATCATGAGCAAAATGACAAGGTACAACTTTTATGAATTGCAAATGTAAACTTAAGAAATATTAGCATGTCTTGATACTTTCATATACTGACAAGTAAAGTAAAGATAGCGTTTTCAGGTGGTGTTGTTATGTCACTAGTTATTACTGTTTAGAAACCTGGGAGTTTTATGAAGCTGTTCTTTTCACTCTGCATGTTTCCTTTGAGATAAGAAATTATTTTCAGTTCAGTAATTTTTATTTTTAGCTGTTCTCTTCAATTTATAAAATACATAGGTAAGAAAACATGGGATCCTTTTAATTGAATCTGCAAACTGATTCTACACATTAGCAATGAAAATAGAATGATTGTATTGATTATCTGGACCCAGCCAGACTCTTGTGTCTGTTCTTAATAGTTAGGCTACCTACCCTAGTATGTATAAATTAATCAGTAGATTAATTTCATAATGACAGCTGTTTCCAAATGAAATGTGGGAAAAAAAAAAAAATAAAAATCTGTGATTAAGATTCTGCTTACTTTTAAATTGAGCTTTTGCCACAGGTTTCATATATAAACTGAAGCATTTTATTTAATTTATTTGCCTTGCTTCCTATTATACAAAGCATGAGATTGGAAAAATTCTTGTACTGTTTAAGATAGTTGCAGTTGTAAATGAATTCTTAGGAAACATTTAACTTAGGGATGTTAATGAATATATGGTGAAAGCTACTTATGTCATCACAGCATCGTAGAAAGTCCCGAGTTGGAAGGCACCCACAAGGATCATTGAGTCCAACTCGTGGTTCCCCACAGGATCCCTCAAAATCCAAATCATATTTGTGAGGGTGTTGTCCAAACGCTTCTTAAAATCCAAGTTTCCATGTTACAGAACTAATCCATAAAAACAGGAAGTTCATGTGGTTAAAACTATTACATTCCACGCTTGCAAAAGAGCTTTTCTACCTTCACTAACTGGAAGTGGTAGTGCAGATAGCAACTGAAGAGCACTGAATCCTAGCATAAGCTAAGCTTCTCCGGTTGAGAAATTAATCAAATTTAAGGAAAATTCCATATCTCAGTTTTAAAGCAGGGAAACTTATCTGTCTCGTGCTCATTCTTTTCTCATGCTAACTTCATTGCCCTTAGAAAGACTCAATTTTGAGTCCCTGCTTTCTTTAATTCCTAGGCTTTCTTTTCCCAAACACAATGAACACAAAGCACTAGCTTTTCCAATTGTGAAACCCAAAGAAGAGGAAATATTTTAAACTGGTGCTATTATATGTTGTTACTGCTATATGTGGGGGTCTTAATGTTTTTTAAAATTTTGAGTTCTAGTTATGTGTCATCTGTATTATGTATAACTTCTGGGATGATTGAATTTTGTCTTTATTTTTGGGTTTCTAACAAACAGCCTCACCGATGTGACCAGTGTTCAATGTCATTTAATGTTGAATTCAACTTGACACTTCATAAGTGTACTCACAATGGCGAAGATCCTACATGTCCTGTGTGCAACAAGAAATTCTCCAGAGTGGCCAGCTTGAAAGCTCATATAATGCTGCATGAAAAAGAAGAGGTAATACATTATATTTCATCACTTAAGTTTTAAGAAGGTGAAGGTGAAGGTGGTTGTCCTTAATCTCTCAGCTATATATTTTAGATCGGAAGACTGAATGATGTAATTTATAAGAACCACAGCATGTTTAGCGGGGAAACTATTTTAATAGTAGTAGGAATTAACATATCAGATATAAACAAGTGTTCCAATTGTGCATTCTCCTACAGAATCTGTGCACATTCAGTAGTATTCATATACAGTCAGTGATCATTAATTGATGAATGCGCAATGGATAAAACTAATCCTACCTAACCATTTGTCTGAGTTATTTATAAATACTTCCAATTGGAGTGATTTTGGTCATTTTGTGTACATTGATAGGCCCACGTGTAATAATAGCCTGTGTGATCATTTCCATGGCTTATGTCATATTAGATAATTCCTAGTCTTTGTGAACGTTTCTGTATTCTGTTAGTGTATTTTTATTACTGCTGAGACTTGTTCACAATCTCTTGTATCATGAAGCTGTTTTTTGAGACCTCCTATTTTTTCTTTTTGTTTAAGTAGTCACTACTGAGTTAAAATGAGAGGACTGTGCAGTTTGGGGTGTTAACATGTATATAACACCAAACAGTTTAATTTACTGGGGGAACTTGATTTTTGTGATTGCCAGCAGCATTAGGAGAAGAAAATTGAACAGCAAGGAAGATGCTCAAAAGTGATTTCTGTTACTCATTTCTACACTTCAATTACTCTGATTTTCATATTAGGTGCATATGTCAGAAGAATAGATTGTGATGCCTCCCAATTTAAAAAAAATCAGTCTGCAGCTTAAAAATTAAACTTAGAAAAATATCAATGCTTTTCAGTTGTAACGAATCCCTGCTTATAACACAACATAATTCTGTGCTAAAACAGAAATGAACATAGTAATTAATTTAGAGAATTGCAAGAGTGACTTTCCCAGTGATTGTGCATGTGGACTTGTCCTTGGAGAACTGGAATTTGAACTTTATACCCTGTAGTTCATAGAACGTGGTCCTGGCATGTTTTTCCAGATGAGCAGTATAAAAACTTAAATTAGCAGTGGGGTGTGTTTCCCTTGCTGTGTCACTGCTCATTTCTGTTGTTTTGTCTGTGGGGATAGCTTAAGGTAAGTCAGTAGTGACTGCGGCGGGTTTACTTTTAAAGAGTAAGTGATATTCTGTATCTTTTTAACAGTAAAAGTGTAAAATCTTTACATCTGCCGTTAAAGTATTTTTAGTTAGGAAGTATTTTGGTGGTGGTGTTTTTTTTCCTCAAATGTTTATGTAGATTTCTAGCATTGAGGTAAGTCATGGTGTATATCTTGAAAGATGTGACCAAAGAAACAGAGAGCAGAGATGACAGTACTGAACTGTTCGTTGCTGTTACTTACAAACTCATACGCAGTTCAGTTCAGGTGGAGTTTTCTAGAAGATAAGTATTACCGTAAGTGTGCAGTGGTCCATGATTTATATTACATGGCTTAAACTTTTTTCACTTGTATACTTTTATTGGTGTTTGCTTCTGGCTGCCAAAGTCCTTAGAAGTATTCATGCACCTACTTGAGCAGAACTTGTATTTGTGAATCTTTTTAAAAACCAGTCTCTATTATCTGTTTCAGAATCTTATCTGTTCAGAGTGTGGAGATGAATTTACGTTGCAGAGTCAGCTGTCCATACACATGGAAGAGCATCGTCAAGAACTGGCAGGCAATAGGGTCCACAGCTGCAAATCTTGCAAAAGGGAATTTGAAACTTCCTCACAACTGAAGGAGCATATGAAAACTCACTATAAAATAAGGTGACAATCACAGTTTTGTATCAAAATGAGAAGATGTTACTTTGAAGGTAGTAGCTAGGAAGGCAGGAGTAGCATTTCCAGTCATTAAAGTACCATAACCTGTGCTGGTTGTTTCCTTTCTTTGGTATGCTGTTCTGAAATAGCACTGGTTCGTAAATCCTTGCTAAACTATGTGATCATTTGTGAAAGCTGTTTTTGTATTTGGAGGCCCATACTAAGCGCAGTTCTGTCTGCATACAGGTTAAGCATACGGGTTTGTGAGGTGTTTTTTTAATACAGATTGCATTCTGAAGTGCCTTCATGTGATTCTGAAGTCCAGTAGCAGTACTGAAGCAAACCTGTGTAAACTTTATGTAGTTACTGTAGTTTTTTATAGTTACTGTAATGCAATCTTAATGCTTTCCCTTGTCAAAGAAATAAACTGTTCCTTGCAGTTTAGTACTTTTTTCCTAGTAGCTCTTTCATGACCTTCCCTGAGTTTCTTGCAAATCTGAAAAAGCACATAATGAAGGGAAAGAAAGAACCCTAGTAAGTGTTGCTCTTGCTTTAGGTAAGTATTTGTTCAATAACTTCTTTCAGCAGTATAATTTGATTCCATCTTAGGAAGGTGAAAATTAAGTTAGTTGAAAGAAACACTTCTGTTGGTTCAGTTTAAGCTAAATTGTATTAAGAAAGTTTATATATAGTTTATATATAAACTATGTATTAAGAAAGGCTAAGGTTTTTTATAAGAAATCATCTGCAGGAGAAATGAAAACAACAAAATGAGAAATGTCAGGTATTTCCTATTCTGCTTATAGGCAGCTTTTACAGGTCGAGAGATCTTGTTATGTTTCAGAGGGTTTAAATAAGAATTGCAGTTTCTCTGTGCAAACTGTAAATTGAGAGTTTGAAGTATGGGGTTGCTATGTTTGTACTGAGTCACGTAAGTGTATACTATGAGTCAAGAAGCAAGTTCTTATTGTGGATGTCTCCTTTATAAGTTAGGATAATGAGAAAAATACATGAATGATTATAATGGCAACTGTGATTTTGAGAGAGTATTATGCATCCTGTGTTTTGATGTGAGATATATGAGTAGTTTTAGTTTACTTTTAAAAATGAAGATGGAAAGTTTTGCTTGACAGAGAGGGACAAAATTGATAACAGCATCAATTTTGACAGAGTGGTTAATGGCAAAACAGGAAGAGGAGTTATTTCTGGTATTTTCATTCAGATTCTTTCTTGAAGAGTAACTCCTTTGGTCTTGCAGGAAAGCACAGCTCCATCAACGTTTGTTAATCTTCATTTTCTTGAACAGAATTTTTGAACATAATTCTGTTTTATGTTATTAAGATCTACTTTATTTATCAATTCAGATGTGGAAACATTGCATTTGTGTTCCAGAAATTGTTTACAATAGTTATTTACTGTCCTTTTGCCAGCAGTTCCAAAGCAACTTGAGTATGTGAACCAGTTTAGCTAGTTGCAGGAGTTACTTCATCGAAAAGCTAGCATAGCTCTGGTCTTCTGTTCTTCAGTAGAAATTCTGAATTTTCATTTGACTCAGTTCTCTCATATTTTCAGAGAAAGTATGAGAAGTAAATGTTTCATCTAATTAGCTTAACAGTATACAATATAATATTTATTTAAAGTTCAAGGACCTACATATGTAGGTAAAGATCTTATTATTTATTTCCTGCTTTTCATTATAAAATAAGCTTCAAGGATTTTTTAGGAGTTAAGGAAGCAAGGCTTTTAATATTTTCAGTTTTTTCTTTCCAGAAATAGAATGTAGTTCCCCTTCCTTAGAGGTATCTGTTCTGTCTCTGAAATGTTTGAATAATAACTATTACAAAATCCATAATTTAAAATTATCGATGTATCTGTAAACGCTGAAATCCCTTCAGCTGTCTTCAAGTTGGAGGCATGTATTGTATTTCCTTGTTAAAATATCACAGCTATAGTTTCAACAGATGTAATTTCTCCTCAAAGAGTGTATCAGGCTGATGTACATCTATTGTCCTGAGGTGAAAAGAAGTATGGTTTCTAAAGTCTCTCCTGGTCATAGAATTGTGGCTTGGGTTGGAAGGGACCTGAAGGATCGTGAAGCTCCATCCCCTTGCCGCAGGCAGTGCTGCCAACCTCCACATTTAATACTAGACCAGGCTGCCCAGGGCCCCATCCAACCTGGCCTTGAACACCTCTAGTGGCAGAGGTGTGCTGTCTCTACTGCTCTTCAGTCTTCAGCAGATTTTATTCTGCATACTTCAGTAAATTTTAGTAGATACAGTTAACATGTATCAGTAACAATTTTGTCCAGACTCTGCTTGTTCTGCAAGAATATTGAAAAGAAAAAGTTTTAAAATGCATGTAAAAGTTCGAGTAACTAGAAAAGAAAATGTACTGCCTGTTAAATTGACATTGTATTCTTTTAGAGGAGAAAAAATGCATCATTTGAGAAGTGTAGATTTCCTCCTGCACAGACTGTAACTTCCCTGCTGTTTTTCATGGTGTTATACCAGCTTGTGCTTCAAGGTGCTTGTATATTTTTGCACATCTGATCCATATTAGCTAATTCTTATTTCTCTGGTTTTCACGAAAACACTGGGTATTTAAATCTGTAATTTTGAGCAGAACTGCCAAACTGAATTACCATATATAGATATAAATTTTCAGGCATTATGGAAATTGTGGAGCACTGTAGATGTCGCATTGATTTGCTTACTGCTTCTTGTTTCCATTGAGTTGTTGTAATGGTCTTTAGGGCCACCTGGCTTTTTGACTTTTTTTCCCCCCCTCAGTAAAATCAGGTGTTCTTTTTCTACATTATTGATTAGTTTGATTTGTACAGAGATCAATTACATGTCTATGTATCTGTTGCTGTAGCTTTGGAGATCATGATACATACTTGAGATATTAAATCCTTAACATGTTCTTGTTAGACTTAAGTAACTGTGTTTGTGCGGTGGTTCATAAGACACTTGTAGTTAAGAACAAAGATTTTGCTGTGTGCAAGAAATAGAAATGAGTTGCAATGTTGAAAGTTCCCATAGAAACCATAGTTGTGAAGTCACTCTAGATGAATTTACAGTGAAATTCTCTAGAGAACCTGAAAGATCTACCAATTTGGTTGCTGAAATAACTGTACAATTATTTGTATTATCTGGGTAGGCCTAGAAAAGTACTCCAAGTACTTTCCATTGATCATTCAATATTATTAAAGATTTTATTTTCACTGATGTGGCTGATGCTGTATATATTGTCATCACTTTTCAAGTTTGTTTAAAAAAAAAAAAAAAAAAAAAAAAGCTTTAAAATGGGCTCCTTCAAAATAAGACTTTGATGTTAACTTTTTTTTTTTTTTAATGACAGGGTATCAAGTACCAGGTCTTATAACAGAAATATTGACAGAAGTGGATTCACCTATTCATGTCCTCACTGTGGAAAGACGTTCCAGAAACCAAGTCAGTTAACTCGACATGTTAGAATTCATACAGGTAAGACTGTAGAAATAATTATTTCACAAAATTTCATTAACCTGAGAGACGCTGAATACTTTTGTATGTGTGGGGATGTGGAAGTGCTGTTAATGTGTTTGGCTTGTTATTATGAAAAATTTAAGTACTTCATACTATTCTTTTTATTTATTTTTTTTTACAGAAAAAATTTTTGGTACCTAAAGTTTCAGTGGGCCAGAAAATTTTAGTCCCTAGATCAAGGGACTGTTCTAATTAAGATCTTAAATTGCAAACAGATTCTGAAAGTTACCATCACAAAAACAGTAGAAATTTAAGACAGTGAATAGTACTTCTAACATAGTGGCCTTGCTTTTTTTTTTTTTTTTTTTTTTTTTTTTTTTTAATTGATGTGTTTAAAGTTACTGCTATATGTATTCTGAACTTACTGTAATTGACATGTTCAAGATGCCCAAAGTAAGCTTAGGAGGTGGTAAGCTTAGACTTCAGTTTTGATAATTAAAGAAAATATTCATTGTGGAATGAATAGCAGGGTTTTTGGCTAAATTACTGTAATAAATATATGTATTTGTTTAACCCTTAAGCAATATTAATAACTGAAAGTGTGCAGTAGAAAATAATGCAAAAGTTTAGGATGAAGTGTTCCTGGAACTGTGGTATTAGTTCTAAAGTTTTAACCAGCCATACGTTATATAGTATGAGTTTGGCTTTAAACCAAACCTTCACAAAAGGTTCTCCAGTGATGTAAAACTTGTTTTCTGTCTTGTGAATAAATTGCTGTTTGTTTAGTTTTTTGCTAATATAAGTAGTAAATTAGGTAAGTGCATAATGTTCTTTGCATTAGCCATGTGTGCAGGCAATCTTGTGAAGAGTCACTCTATGTTATATTAACACTCTATGTTATATTCCCATAGAATTCGATTGTGTTACCTTATCATAGGAATCTTTTCAAGTTTTATAGATTTTTAGTCATGATACAATGACACAGGAGGTCACTCTTGCACCTGCTTTAAAGGTTACATCAAAATAACATTCACAAATGTCATTGAAAAATGGTTTTACTGTTTTAGAGTCTGTGTAGATACATTGTTATACCTATTCTAACCAGAATTGAAGAGGCAAAACTACAGTTGGTTGAGGATACTTCTGTGAAAATGTAAAAGTTTGAAGAGCTTTTGTAGTTCATTTGCAGAATGAAACGAGACAGAAAATAGATTGTCCCCATCTGCGCATGACCATAGGTCACTCTAAGTTTCAAGCAGTTAGGAAATAACAATTTAATTGAAAGTATATTATTGCTTTGAATGCCAGACAGACTGTGAATTTAGTTACTTGAGGTACTAAATCTTTGTGAGACTTTAGAATATGTGTTCCTTTAATTTTGAAAAGAGCATGCCTGTGGTGCTATTACAGTGCATACACTGGTGTTGTAATTGCATTACTTTTTTTCTTATACCTATTATTTGGGGCCTTTACATGTTCAGTATTTTAATCTGTGTTAAAAATGCCATACCAAAACCCATAGACTTGAAAGAAATCATCTGAACTCAAAGGCAATAGAACAGAAAATGTATATTCCTTAAGATTTGATACTGTGGTATTCTTTTTAATCTGTTCCAGAAAACTGCCTTTTTCTGCAAACAGTGAGATTAATTAAGAATTAATCTTTTTAAACTAGACCAAATTATAGCTCTTGACATCATTAGAAGTAATATAAAATATTCATTTAAATTATTTGTATCTGATATTTATCGCATGCTGTTACTCACATCTTTTAGCTAGATGTAGCATGTCTGTAGTGATTTTGCTGTAGAAGTATGCAGAGCAAAGTAACAAATTTTTTCAGGGTCTTGGAGTTATCATTGTTGAACTGTTTCATTAAAAAATATATATATATATTAATGCTGAGTTTACAGTGGAGATTTCTAGGAGTCAATTGAGACAAAAGCTGGCAAGGTACTGGATTTTGTGCTTTATGTCAGTGTATAACTGCTCTGTAATGAGTTAATGTAGGTCCATTACATTTCGTCACTTAAGATTTGTGGGGACTATTTTTTATGTATAATCAGTGTGGAAATAACTAAGTATATACAATGTTGAACACACTTAACGTCAGAGAATAGCAGCAGATTCTCAAATATCATTAACTAGGATTTTCTCTCGTGTTTTGTACTAAAGAAATATTGAAAGAGAACATTCAAAGTTTTTGATTTTTGAGCAAGTCTATACAATATCTTGAATAATAACAACATTTGACTTCACTTTTTGGGGATAGATGGTTGCAAAGAATTGAATAAGTGTTAATACTCACTGAGGGTGGAGGCTATACATCTTTCTCAGTGTTTCTGTAAGAATTTTTTATGGACAGATTTTTTGCTTTTTCACATTTCTTTTCCTCCAGTGCATTTGCATAGTAGCTTTCTGAACTAAGGAAAGCTGTTCTGAACGCTCTTCACAAAAATATCACCTAATAATGTGTCTGTTTTAAACCTGTAATTACATATATGCCTTTATCTGTATGCAGTACTTTATTTTAGCTGATAAAATTTCATTATACGTACAGGAAACTGCTAAGACGTTGAAATCCCTTAAACTTTTTTTTCCTTTAGGTGAAAGACCGTTTAAATGTAGTGAATGTGGAAAAGCCTTTAACCAGAAGGGGGCGTTGCAGACCCATATGATCAAGCACACTGGTGAAAAACCCCATGCTTGTGCCTTTTGTCCTGCTGCCTTTTCTCAGAAAGGCAATCTTCAATCACACATACAGAGAGTTCATTCAGAGGTAAATACAATTATTCATAAAGTGGTTGGTGCTAATATACTGCGTATTGGTTTTTAACCTTTTGTTTTCAGTATTTAAAATGTCCTGTTTGCTATTCCTGTGCACGCTGGTGCTTTCTGCAGCCAATGCAGATTTTCTGTTGTAGTATTGCTATTGGTTTGTTGGTTTTACCTGCAAATTCAGCTTTCCTAGAATAGCTTAATCTGCATAAACAGATTCTTAGGATAAGTAGCAAAGCCTTCATTTACCATTGCTTTTTCAGAACATTCGAAGATGAAAACATAATTGTGATTATTTTTTAATGGCTAAAAATGGCATTTGTGGCAGTCTCAGGAGATTGAGGGCTAAAATCAGATCAAAGTAAGCTGTAAACAGCAAAGTAGAAAATGTTGAGTAATTTCAATCCCAATAGCAACCTGCTTACTCCAACATAAAGCACAGTTCATATTTGTCTTTGAATAGTGTATCCTACAGCCCCCTTTAGAAGCTTTTCCTTTTGACAGGAAGAAGGAAGTTGCAAAATAAGTTTTGTTTTTAAAGCCACAAAAATCATAGACCTCTTTATGCTGATACTTTTTTCTTTGTGACAGACAAGTTTTAAGATACTGAAGGCACTGCTGTAATATTGTAATGTAGTCTTCTGAGCAATGTTGACTGAGCAATCTTTTTCAGTAATTATCTTTCTGATTTCAGTGTTTCATAGATGGCAGTACTCATAAACAGAGACCTAGCTTTGATTTTGGAGGTATAAATAGGTAGAGGCAACTGTCTTTTTGCTGCATATAGAATATCATCTTTGTTAGAGGAAAAAAAAAAAAAAAGGGGGGGAAAAAAAAAAAAGAAGAAATAAACAGAAGATGCATTTTTTTTAACTTGCATTTTTTTCCCCTTGTTTTCCCTAACTTGAATTTGCATTTTGTATGTTAAATTTTCAAGCATGTCTTATTTGATAAAGATGCATTTTGGTTTTGTTTCGAAGTATGTAATAGTAGCAAATATTAAGGAAAGAGAAATCTTGAGGCCTCAATACACCAGATGACATTTGTTTTCCTCTCTGGTGCTTTTAAACATTGAAAAGCAGTAATAGGTGAGTAATGCAGGCAGATTACCATTAACTTTGTAGCAGGAAGATTCCAAACTGATTGTATAACAGAATATCAATAAATTGGGGAAATAAAATATTTTGTCTCTTATAGTGGCAGTGTATGTTTGTTAGTTGGATAAATAATGATTAAAAAAATTAGATAGTTTTAGGGAAAATGTACTTCAACTTTTTCCTTTTCCTGAAGGTGAAGAATGGCCCTACCTACAACTGTACAGAATGTAGCTGTGTCTTCAAAAGCTTGGGTAGTTTAAACACGCATATCAGCAAGATGCACATGGGTGGTCCACAGAATTCTGCAAGCTCTTCAACAGATGTATCTCATGTTACAGCGGTAAGCTTCACTTGAATCACAAAAATCCCCTTAAGCGTTTAAGTAGGTCTGTGTTTTAACCAGTAATTCTTCATATGGTTACAGCTGTTTTTAGTTTTGACCTCTCTGATGTCTTCTGCTCTTTCTAAGTTTTGCCATTTTAAAAAAAAAAAATTGCATATTGAAACACCAGCATTTATAATTTGAGGGTTTAGATGAAAACGTGACAATTTTATTATACATCTAATTCAAGTATAGCTTTGGTACTTGCAGGTTGTATGGGAAAGAGAAGTTTTCTCTCTATGTAACAAAACTAATTGGAAGAATGGAAAAAAAAACTCTTACTACCAAATATTTCCTTTCTCTGGCCAGCTGTGATTTTCTTGCTTTGTTTAGCTTGATCAATTATTTTCCTTTTGAATTGCATATTGATATTAGAGAAGTGTGTTACCATAATTTTTGCCTCATGTGTCCATCTTTGCTTGCATGAAGGCAATGGAAAGGAATAACTCTATACAATAGTGTAAGCAAAATAGAAGAGACAGAATTCGTCTTAAAAAGCTTAACAAGTAGAACAAAATTGACTGATGTATTGCGAGAGTGTTAAACTCTTTAATTTAGTATCTAAAGTTGCAGAGGTTTAATGATGGATTTTTTTATTGCTGTAGAAAGGTGGTAGCACTGGTGTTCTGAGATAAGAACTGTCTTCCTCAGTTTGGTCTCAACTTGCAGAGCTTCTCTAACAGCTAATCTCCATTGTACTTGTCCTGTGCTGAAGTCTGTGGTATGTCTGCCATCCCTTGATATGGATGTGAGGATGAGCAATGATTGTCCTTAGTATATACGTTCCAAAACTTGAAGTCATTTGATTTGTGGAATTCATATTATTCTCATACTTAGGTATATCTTGAAAAATATACTTACTACAAGGCTGCTGTTGTCTTCTGCAGCATCTGTGCTTATAGCTCAGGTGAAACTGATACCAGTTCCTGTAACTTGTGTTTATTTAATGTATATAAAACTATGAAGCAACACCAGTGATTACATGCACAATTGCATTTTTTTTCCCATAGTTTTTTTTTTTTTTTTTTTTTTCCTTAGCCCATATTGTGGGGAAAATGAGCTGTGGAACTGATACTTCTGCTGTTTTTCTTTTTTTTTTTCCTGGTGTTAAAAGTCTAAAAATGCTTTTTAAAATTTATTTCTAGGACTCTGTCACCCAGCCTTTAACAACATCTCCTGCTAATCTTTTGCAACCTGTTGATAATAAGTGGAAGAATGTAAGTATAGAGTTTTTGTTTGTCAAGGCTAAAAACAGGTGGAACTTTCACAGACTTTTGTCAGCTTCTTGGTGAAAAAAAATTTGCAGTTGTCCTCTGTGATAGATTTGTCAACTAATAGATGAAGACAGACTTCCTGATCAATGTAACTGGGTATTTAGGAATTGAACAGATCTTACATGGATTGTATTCCCACATTTGTTATACAGCTTTAAGCTCATAATTCTGATAAAGCGTTTTAGTTCTTCAGAATGGTGGCAAGTGTTACACTGTTACACTGATGTTACACTGTTACTAATACACAAGATGTTACACTGTTGTGTATCCCATTGATAGATCCATTGCTCCCAACAGGGACCTAACTGCTCCCTCCTCCAAGAACTGCCTGATGTTTTTGCATAGCAAGTGAGAGTGCTGGCTCCAATTTCATTTTTAGTCTTAGGGTCTTCAAGCTTGCATCTTTACAAGAGTATGCCTTAGTAGCTCCTGGGCCACCAAGTGTTTGTATGCAATTTTGCAGAATCAGCTTCAACTTATGTGTAGTAGTTCTAGTAAACCAGGGAGGGAAGAGCCTGACTCTTATTCAGCAGAGACGAACCTGGAATTCTCTTTCCCCTTGCCAGGGTACCTTCTGTTTTTAAGAAGTAATGATAAAATGTAACATTTATAGGAATTTTGAGGAAAAGGAACATGTGAAATCACCTGAAACTTATAAACTTCTAAACTAAGATGAATCAACAGTAATTTTGCGTTATGTTTTCAAATATTCCTCCTTTAATGTCCTTCAATGTAAAACCTGTTTTTTCCATGCTGTCAGATGCACAGCTTGCTTGTTTATGTACAGTTCCTGTTGATTTGTTGACCTAGGATAAATGCTCTGATTCTTCCATGGAACTGTATGATGTATCATACATGGCTTTAAAAAAAAAATGTGTAAGTGCTTTTCTTGTATGTAGCATCTTTTTTTTTTTTTACTTTGTAAGTAGAGCTTGTTTTCTTGTTGCACCCTTAATGAGTCTACTTTTTCTTCTTCTGCTGAAGCTTATAAAAAGCAAAAATGTTTTCCACTTTCAAATGGAATGGTACATCATATTGAATGTTACGCATTGTGAGTAAAACTTCCTGAAAATTTTCAGTAGGATTTACAGGGAGTCACCACTGTTACTTTGTTTCTGATTGAGTCCCTTAATAATTTTCACTACACAAGTTAATATTTTATCAGCAACCTGGATATAAAATCATCATTGGTCTGTATGATACGAAAGTTGTAATTTATAAAGAAGACAAATCAGTGGATTACTTGGTGAATTAGGGTACAAACAAGCAATATGTGTTCTGAAACAAGAATAAAATCGCACGCTGTAGAAAAAGCAAGCAGGCCATATTCAAAGGATATAAAATCCCATTAAAATAGGGATTGAATAGGTCATAAATAATATGCCAGCTAAAATTGAAGTTTTCCTTGCCCACAAAGTTTGGGAAAAGTCTTTTAAGTCAAAGTGAAAAATTTATCTGCAGTTTCTATTCCATTCTGACAATTCTTGCTTTTATCATGTCTGTTTATAGTGTCCACTTCTTATGAACTGTATTCAAAAATACAAGAGGCATCAGACCAATTAGAATTCCCAAAGTTTTGCACAATGTGTTTTTTATCAGAAAGATTAAAGGAGCTCTATCTACTTTGCCCATCAGATGGAAATATTTAATAATCACTTTATTTTCTGTTTTGCAGAAAAGGGAAAAATCTAATCCTTTTTATTAAAAGAGGAAGAAAAAGAATTTGAGGACCTAAGCTAGACAAACTAACTAACTAAACTACTTAATGTATAGAATTTAGTATGGATGATGTACTGTTGGAGTAACTTCCTGAAGTTTGATAGCAATGGAGAAAGCTGCTGCAGTGATTATAGAAATTATGGTAGTTTTTCTTAGGGAAGTAATTGACCCAGAGCGTGTGCTCTGTTTTACTCAGTGGGTCAGACAGCCCAAACGTGATCACAAGGTTCATTATTCTAACTGAAGAAATGTGGAATTACAAAGTAATAATATGACACTTTATACTGTTTGATACTTAGATATTTAAGTATTCTGAGGGGGACCTAGAAAGAGACCACTGAAAACATATTATTTTTCAAAAAAGATTACCTTTGTGAGACTGGATATAAAAGTGCTGTATAATATGTGAACAAACTGGCTGAAGTTATGTGATGCTGTAATTTTCAAGATGATGTCAAGCAGTTCCTTATTTTAACACTTATTTCTTGTTTTAGGGTCCTGGAAGATTTTACAGATCTTTTAGTCTCAGCTTCCCACTGTATTAGAGCTTCTCTGTTTTAGGGAGAAAAGTAGTTTCTATAAGGAGTTGCTACATGCTTTGCTTCAGCGTTGTTTCAGTGAAAATGTCACATGATGTGTTTTATTTTTGTAAAACAGATAGTGAAATGTTGATTGGACTTCTGCTAAATTGGAATCTGAAAAGACTCCATCTTTTCATCCCTCTCACTAGTGAAGTGAAAAAGACAAACTAATGGTAAAAACAATCAAATAGCAAGTGCCATTCTGCTGTGTGCATGCAAGAGTAATGAGATAAGGGTGTGCTTTAATACTCTTGTCCAAAAACATAAGTATTTAATGATATACTCAGGATATAACAGATACAAAGCTAACTTTTCATTGTTCATCCTCAAATAGGGTGGCAGTGTAATTTTAACTGTCCAGTGTAATATATCAATATAAGGAAAATATCTGGGAAAGATAAATACGGAAATACAATGTGCAGAAAACCTGAGATTTCTTTCTTGTCAGAAATGATCCAGAGGAATGTAGTGTTTTATATATATAAAGTGAATGTTAGAAGCAGATATCTGGAGTATTATAAAGAGTGTTACAGAGAAATGGAATTCCAGTGCCTGTTGATATATAAATACATCTTTTTTTGCAGTAGAATGATTAGAGGCAATTCATTCGATAACAGTAGGCTCTTGTGGTCTATTTCTTATAGAAAAGAGAAGTATATAAATGAGAGGGAACAGAAAGTCTTCATTTGTGATTTTTAAAGGAAATACTGTTTTCTTCTGTCTTTTCTACCTGTTCGTTACTAAGGTGGCTAAGATACAGTGATCTAATCAGTGCTGAATACATTTGATTTCAAGAGTAGGATTTTTTTGATTATTTTGATACGGCTCTGTGTGTATTTGAACTTTCAAAGTATAAACGGATCCACTTAAAGCTGAGAGATTTTGAAGGTTGAAAGGTGAAGGAATACAAGTTTGCTCTTTCTTTGGTCTGAAGTGTTTCAGTGTAACAATACTAATGACACCATACAAAGCATCTCAGCTAATAGAAGGTTACTTGTTGAAGGGACTTGTTTCAGTAGAATGTAAATTACGAAAAGAATCCCGTGGCAGCATTGTGCGTCTTTCTTGTGGCATATACATGTGGAATTCAGTAGTTGATCTCTGGGTTCTGTAAACTGGTTGAAGGTTCTTTTGTTATTACATACATAAATTTCAGCTTCTTCCTTGATTATGCACGTTGATAAGGAGCCCAGCAGGCACTGTTCATGTATATTTTCATCTTCCTTTCAAAATGTACTACTATATGTTTCAGGCCACACATTTCCGGTCTCCACTACTTCAGCAGACAGAAAACCAGGTGTCTTCAGCTACTGCTAATCAGGGACAACAGGCTGTAACTGATGTCATCCAGCAACTCCTTGAGTTATCAGAACCAGGTGCTGTAGAAAATAGCCAGCCTCAACAACCTGGTCAGCAGCTCAACATTGCTGTGGGACTCAACAGAGATATTTTGCAGGTAAGAGCCGTGTATGGTAACAGCTTTACATTTCAATAGTTTTACTCATCATTTTTATTTTAGTGATATTTGGCTTCAGCATTTTCAAGGGTAGCATTCCTTCAGCATTTTTAAATGATTTATTGGTTGAGAGAGAATTGTAAAGATCTATTGAATAGGAATGGAACATGCCAAGATACAGCTTTATATAATATAGCAAAAGGAAGATTGCAGATATTGATTTCATGACAGAAGAAAGCTGTGGACGCACCCATATGTGGATGTTTTGGTTCCTTTTTCTTGCCTAGAATCAGCTTGTCATGCAACCATTGGTAATGATTCCTAGAGTTAATATGGGCTATTTGATTCTTTACTGTCTGTGCGAATTCATTCCTAGGTTGAGTTTTGTTTAGCCCATCATATGTCCTTGATGTTGGCAGTAGGAAATACTGTGTAGTGTAGTGGAAGAGCTGTAGGGCAGTAGTTCAACTATGTGTTTGTTTTGAAGCCTCCATTGCATAAAGATGCAAACAGGGTGGAGCAGGTGGAGTGTATTCATCTGTAGCATTGCTGATATCCTGCAAACCTTTAATCTATTCTTACCTAGCCTGTTAAACACCACTTGCATTTCTTTTTTGGAAGACCCGTATGTTTTATGTTGCTCTGTTCAGGTTCTGCGTGTTATCTGTACTAAATCTCTAATGTGTGGAAAAATTGTATGTAACCATACAGAATTACAACTGTAGTCTTGATAGCTATATTGAAAAGAAGAGAAAAAGTAATGTTTGAGGCATGAACATTTAGTGTACTACACATATTGTACAAAATAAAAAGAAAATGGTTTGTTCCAAGTGATTAAATATTTGTGCCATCCTATTGAAATGAATTCTTGAGGTCTCTAATCCAAGATCTTCTCAGATGCAGTAGCATCCATGAAGGTATCCTCTCTGTTTCTTCTGATGTACGTAAAATGGGTGCATTGCTCTTGCCTCAGTAAAACAATTATCCGTGATTTGTTGATAGAGGCTTTTGAGCTTTTCCAGATCTTTTTTTGATGTATCACATCATAGAATCACCAAGGTTGGAGAAGACCTCTGAGATGATCCAGTCCAACCGTCCACCTATCACCAATATTTGCCACTAAACCATGTCCCTCAGTACGTCTAAATATTTCTTGAACACCTCTAGGGATGGTGTCTCCCTAGCTACCTTTTTCATTATAGCCATCTTCCATTTTCATTATACCAATTATGGCTTCTCTCCAAGTTGATGGGCTTCAAATTTGAATGTTAGTGGGAAACTGTTATCTTACGTAGTGGGTATAAGACTTAGCTATATATTCCTGGCAAATGCCTGACTCCATAAGACTGCTGGCACGTTTTTGAAAGGTGAGTCCTTTAATTATATTTGCGTTGTACTTTCTGAATAGTCATTTCAGAAAAATTGGTGCAAGTGGGGAATGCTTCTTTTCTAGTCTGAAGATTTTTATTTTCCCTCATCTAGCAAGCTTTAGAGAATAGTGGATTGTCTTCAATTCCTGTCTCTGCACATTCTACTGACTGCAACCAAGCTAAGACTCCTGGGACCCAGGATCAGAACACGGATGTCCAGACTCTCTCAAATCATCAGGCTGACTCTAATAATGCAGAACAAGATAAGGAACAAGAGAGCACAGATAAACTGGATAAAAAAGAAAAAAAGGTTATTAAGAAAAAATCGCCATTTTTACCTGGTAATGTTGCTACTGTTTGCTATTTTTTGTGCAGTAAGGACTGCAGTATTTCTGGGGATGTTGATGACTTCATAAAGGGATTTCTCAAAACATATTGTGGATCATCTACGTTATCTAAAATACAGTGTTTGTGTAAGTTATGATTAACGTCATTTATGAATTTCATTAGTTGACAGAGTAGCAATAAGTAAAGTTATACTATGAAATCTTCCGAAAGTTCTTAGAATAAAACAGAAAACAAAAGACATAAAATTATAAAATACAAATTTTCCATACCTTTTTCCCCATTGTTCTTTGAGGCTAATTGGGATTTTTTGGTATCTCCTGGAGCAGAGACTTGTTGCAAGCTCTCCTTTTTGTCTTTGCAAGTGAGGCCTCACATAGGTAAAGTGCTGCTGCTTCATACAGGTAATGGCTACTGATACAGTCTGTAAAAGGAGGAGTAAAGATTGGCATTGTGGATAGAGCTTTTGATGAAAACTATGTTTGGGATGGTAGTACTGATGTGATTATGCCATCGTAGATACAGGTTAATATCCTGCCTCCACACTTTATTTTGTTTGTACGAGTCTATATTCTCTCACAGTGTGCTTCATTGCAGGTTTAGTGTTACGGTTGCTTGGACATTAAAGTTGCTAGAAGTTCTTTGTTCCAAGTATGGCTGCTGTACTTCAGAGGCTGGCCTGTTGGAGATGGCCAATCGTTTGGCTGTGTCCCTAGTAACTTCATAAATATGTTCATTATGCATTTTTATTTTGCAAGGGATGTAGAAGTTGATCCAGAGTAAAAAAAACAAAACCAACCAAACAAAAAGCAAACAAAAAAACCCCTCAGCTTGCCCTGCGTAACTGACAAAAATCAGCATTAAATTTTCCCACTGCCTATAACAACTGTTTTATTCTGTGTGTGTAAAGATAACAAATACCTTACTGCAAACAAAAATATGTCTATGCTATACAGTCAAACAGGAGTCTTTATTTGTTACTTTAAAAAAAATAATTGTGCCGGCACAGTTCACATGGTGTGCCTATAAACTGATTTAAATGAGTAAATATCTCATATATTAAACAGCGTATTTGAATTTAAAAGAGAGCAAAGACATAATAGTATTCAGAAGCTTCCATTGTCATTGTTTTGTCATTTGTCAGCAGCAGAGGTATGTTGTTGCTTTGTAATAGAATTCTTGGATCATCAAACAACTTTTGTGAGAAATAGCCTTAAATTGCATTCAGAGCAACTCTTAACAGAATTTTATTCCTTTAAAAATGACGAAATTATAGTGCAAGTCTGTAACCTGAAAGTAGTGATTTAGTTGTAAATTTATGTTCTCCGTAGCTCTATTGGGCTAAAGTGAAATCCTTCCCTACCTGCCAAACTGTAAGCTCTGCCTTTCATATAATCCAGATGCTGTTTTCAATAATAGTAAATACACATCATGAACTTGATTAGAAATGGAGATAAAAGCAGAACATTGTACTGATAGTTGAGAACTGTGAGGGATTCAGAGGATTCACAGCATTACTGAATATTGAGAAGATCCGTATAAAATATCCTGTGAGTGTCTAGTAATTTAAGTAGTTTGTGGGTGTGGCTATGATTCTGGAGTTACATTCACTGCTAGATAAATTTGTGTTAAATGTGATATTTCTAAGTTAACCGGTATATTGGATTGCATTATGCTTATATTCAGAGTGGCCTGTGAACTGTTTCTTGCTATTCTGTGGAGTTACATTTTTAGCTCTGTTTTTCTTTTTTTGCCCTTCATTTTCAATAGCATAACAATGTTTGAATTTCAAAGTTTCTTGGATTTTGATTTCTTGGAGTTTCTTGGATTTTGATTTTCTCATTATGGCTCATTGCTATTGAATGTATCTGACAGAGAAGTGAATTATCCTACAGAGTGTTTTTTTAGTAGCATCTGTAAAATGTTTTCACGTTCTTTCAGATTACTCAGTACGATAGTGACAGTACAGTGAAATTCAGAAACAAAAAATGGTTAAAATCCTTCAGTCACAAATGTCTTTATTTTTTTTTCCAGGTTCTATACGTGAAGAAAATGGAATAAGGTGGCATGTTTGTCCATACTGCTCTAAAGAATTTAAAAAACCAAGTGATTTAGTGCGTCACATTCGCATTCATACCCATGAGAAGCCATTCAAGTGTCCCCAGTGTTTTCGTGCATTTGCCGTTAAGAGTACTCTCACAGCACACATAAAAACACATACTGGCATTAAAGCTTTCAAGTGCCAATTTTGTATGAAATGCTTTTCCACCTCAGGGAGTTTAAAAGTTCATATACGTCTACATACAGGTAAGGTCTCAAAGCTACATTTGTGTTTTTATAATGTGAGTGAGGCCTCAAAGGAAAATACACAATTTTAATTGCTTAATTACAGATGTGCTTATCGTACCATCTACTGTACAGTAAATAACTTCTAGTGTCTTATGATGAACTTGATTTTTTTTTCTCTAGCTTTCTAGTGTTTAGTTTTCTGATGAATCAGCTCTTCTTTTAATGTTGATATTGTGAGTGTATTAGATTCTGTGGAATACATAATCAACTCGTACAATTTGGATTCTGATTTAGCTTAGTCAGTTATCTTAATCTGCATATTCTTTTCTCTACAGTCTTCAATAAATTCACTATGCCACTCATGGCCATTTGTTTACTTCCTGTTTTATCTTCTGCTGTAAGATGTATGGTAGTTTTGCTGATTTAGATACGTTAAAAACCTTGCATTGCATACCCTAAAACTTGGGTGCTGATATGATTTTTATTGTTTATATCATATACAATAGCTTCAAGATCTCTTTTTCTGTGGATGGTCTTCTACTATCTGCATAGATTAAATGAATTTTCCACTCCTGATGAACTGTCTTGTCATTTTCCACTTTTTGTTTTTTATTCATATTGCTACACAGGCTTTCAACCAGCTATCGTGATGTGATACTCATGTAAACAGGAATGAAAGAATTTCATGTTTATATCTGTATTCTGTAAAATGCATTTTCTTGCTGAATTCGGAGTTTGTGGCAAAACTTTTCCTGTGTCATTCATTGGTTATATATATTTGGTGTTCACTGTGGTCTTAGTCTGCCTTTAGCCCATGAAATATTGAAGTTGAATCCATCTGCAGAACTTTTTTTTTTTACTTTAAAATTGTAAACTTTTGTCTATTGCTTTAAAGTAAACATTTAAGAAATCAGACTCATTCAATCATCCAAAGCACTGTTTGGATTGAAAAATATGTAGTTCAGTGCTTGTGGAGCTTCACCATATAACTGTACCACTACCTCTCAGAAATGGGTATTTGCTGTTTTTTCTCTGTCAGTCACGTTAGGTTTGCTGAATTGGTTAAAGGTTCGTCTTGCCCTCTATGTTGACTTCCTCTTGCATTAAATATTCTGCCCGGTAGTTTCATTTGAAATTTCTTATTTATTGTATTATGAAGAACAGTACATTCTTGTGCATTTTTTTCCATTTATGATTTTCTTCGTGGTGTACCTAGTCATGTTTGCAAGCCTTGTAAATTCAAGATTTCTTCTTGGGCAGAAGTTGAATGCATCAGCTTTGCCTGTCTCTATAACTTACCAAGTTCTCCAGTATATATTCCAAGAGCAAGTGCCCAAATCTGAATATTCTGTTCAAAATGCTACTGGATTTTGTAGTGGAAAAAGTCTCACTTTAAAAATTGTCGTTGGCGTGCTTGCTTGACTGCCATCTAACACTGTTGACATTGTCAGAGACTGATACAGAATTTCTTTAACTATTACATCTCCATTCATGTTTTTTGTCCTATAACATTTCATTTGTCTTTTTCTCACAGTTGTCAGCGGGTTGTTTTGGAAGGATATTTGACCAAAGCAATTCTTTGATAGCTTCTGGCAACCTTTGAAAAACTGCTGTCGCTTCTTTTTCCCAATAATAAGCTTGCTTGAAGTGTTAGAACCAGTTAGTAACTTGGCAGTTTTTTATTTGCTGTTGATTACATTTTATTGATCTCCTCTGAAAACATATTTAACAGTGAACTCCCAGACAGAAACCAAAACAGAAAATAGAGAAAAGAGAATCTATATCCCCAAACTGCATTTCTGGGAAGATGGAAATAAAATTTGAAACTAATTTTTTTTAAATCTCTTGCAGGTGTTAGGCCTTTTGCTTGTCCTCACTGTGACAAGAAGTTTAGAACATCTGGCCACAGGAAAACTCACATTGCTTCACATTTTAAACATAGTGAACTAAGAAAGATGCGACATCAACGTAAACCTGCAAAAGTTCGAGTAGGAAAGACGAGTGTTCCTGTACCAGATATCCCTTTGCAGGAGCCCATACTCATCACTGATTTAGGTAAAGAGTCAGTAAACCTCTGCCTACTTGTAAACATGAAATATAGAATATATGGAAAATAGAGGTCACAGTTGAATAAAGCAAATGCAGTCAGGCTTTAATGAGAAGGATGTGCTTTGAAGTAAGTAATCAGAAATCAGGCTTCAACTAAATGCGGTATTTCAGTTTGCTTACATTAGAACTCTTCTGTCTTTTCAGAATTACAGAGTCTTTTTTATTTATGCAGGAACTGTATAAGCCTTACGAATAAGAAATATATTAATTTTTACATTATGTAAGTTAGAGCATTTTAACTATTTCTGGATCCTTGGTGTTGAGAAGATGATGTACAATTAATGTCCTAGGTTTTTCTTGAGCTCATCACATTTATTCTAATTACTGTATTAAATGAGTCAGTATTACATGATTTTAGTACATTTAGTATAATTATGATCCTCTGCTGAATTAGTGGTAATATTTCAATAAGGGGCAGAATAATTCTTGAGCATGCTATAGATAATCAATGTAGTTATTTTAGTTCTATTGTAGAGTAATTGTTACATTACATAAAACCACTTTTTGGAACAAGATGTCTCACATCTCAATTAAGATAATATATTACCTAGCAGAGGTCAATGCAGTGGGCAGGATCTTTACTCTTTATTGGCTTTTGACTCGGTAGTATTTTAACTCCTGCTTTGTCTATTGTGTAGTTGTCTTTATATGGTAGAACACCATATTGATAATAGATCTATCCTAAAATCTTTCTCTCTCTGTAAAATTCCTTTTGCTTACATTGCAAGAATTACTGTATGCAAGAGTAATTGTTACTTGAAGAAAACTTCTTGTTACAGTGCTAAGGTAGCTGACTAGGCAAGTCTGCTTTACTAACAATTGGATTTGTTACTAGTAAAGAGAGAGGATCCCATTGGATGAAGTGATCACTCTGTAATTGAGTTTCAAATTTTTTGTGGTAGCAGAACTGCCAGTAAAACTTTGAAACCTGGAAAACAGAGTTCAGGCAGCACGAGAAACTAGTGAGATGCCCTTGGAGTCTGCTGTTGAAGGTACTGGGGTTCACATATGCTGATCATGCTTTAAGAGCTGTCTCTTCAGAGTGTATGTGGCAGACAATTCCAAAGTACTAGAGGTAAACTAAATGTGTCTTGACTGGATTCTAGAGTTCAGATGTGAAAGGAATATGTATGAATACTGGAGGCAAGGTCAGTTATGTGGGAGAACTACAGAAATGTTGTTTGACATTGTGGGAAGAAAATCCATGCAGCCAAAACTCATGTATTGTCTACAAGTACATAATACATGGGTAAACAATCGGTTGTGTTCGAAGGATTATAGTAAATGGTGTTAAGGATTGTCACTAGTGGGGTTCCCCAGGATTCCACTTTAGAGGCAGTTCTCCTTAGTGTTTTCACAAATGATTTGGACACAGGAGTCAAATGTATCCCAAGCAAGTTTGCAGATGATACTAAATTAGAAGGAGCTGACGCCTCCTTAAGGTAGAGGGGCCTTACAGAGAGACCTTGATAGATTAGAGCTGGGCCAGGTAAGGCACTTATCAGCCTTATGAAATTTAATGAGCAAATGCCAGATTCTGCACCTGGGTTGGAGTAATCCTGCTTGTATGTACAGAATGAGAGACGAGACTGGAGATCATCTCTGTGGAAAAGAATCTGGGAATTCTGGTTAATGGCAAGTTGAATATGAGCCAGCCTTGTCTCCTGGCATCCAAAAGGGTCAGCCGTACCCTGGGGTGCATCAGGCCTAGCGCTACCAGCCAGATGTAGGAAGAGATTGTCCTGCTCTGTCTTAGTGCAGTCTCACCTTGAGCACTGAATGCAGGTTTGGGTGCCACAATATAAAAGGAATGTAAAACTATTAGAGAGTGTCCAAGGGAGAGCAAGAGGTATGAGAAATAGCTGAGGTCACGTGATTGGTTCAGCCTAGAGAAAGCAGAAGGAAAGTCTTATGTCAGGCTATAACTTCCTCACTATGGAAGCAGAGCAACAGGTGGTTATAGTGATAGGACCTGGGGGAACAAGTCGCTCTTGCTTTGATGTTGTCATCTCTCTCATTTCCTCTCTTTATCTTTTCAATTATATTTGAAAGAAAGTCAGCAGAAACCCACTGGACTTTCGTTTCTGAATATGAAGGGGTTTGAAAATGGGTTTTGTTTGCTGATTATTAAGTATCATAAATGGATCTTTTGCTATTTTATTGAAAATCAGTTTGTTAGTCTTTCGTGCTGGTGTTGTGATGAGTATTTTTGTGTTCAGATGCATGAATGATGGTAAGTTCATGAGCGAACTCTGCTATTGTCCATGTTTTGTCACAGCATTTGGAATGATGGGCTTCTGTTGTCTATGTCTGAGACAGAATACTCTTGTATCAGTGGTTGGATGTTTATTAGCAGAAACTCTTAACTGGTTTTCCAGAACTATGCTTTTAACTGACTTCAGAGTACAGTGCATAACAAGTTTTATATATGTCATGACAAACTGTAATAGACCAAATGCTTTTTAAGTATTTGACAAGATACATATTTGGTACTTGACTAAATGTGAAGCACCTGTTGGGCGGTGAATTCTTAACTGTTGACTTTCTTGAAAGTTGGTGTGTTGGATACTCTTGAGGCTCAATATAATGAGGTTGACCTAGTGATAATTTGTATCTATAAGATAGCACACATGATACAATATGTATAATGCTAAATAGATACATGCAAACCTTTTAAATAGGTGGTGAAGATGTGCTCTTTCTACCATATACTAGCATACTAAAAGTCTAGCCATTGTTGTTTTTCAAATACTACCTTTTTAGATAACTGCAAATATCTCTAACAATGATTTGTTCCTTTTTGTGTGTGTGTTTTTTGTGCAGGTCTTATCCAACCAATTCCAAGGAATAGCCAGTTCTTCCAAAATTATTTTAACAGTAATTTTGTGAATGATGCAGACAGACCGTATAAATGTTTTTATTGCCATCGAGCCTATAAAAAATCTTGTCATCTTAAACAACATATCAGGTAAAACAAACACAAAGGAGAAAGGAAATGTACAAACCAGTTCTTAATGAAAAGCATGAAATTTACAGGGTGCTCTGAAAAAGAGAAGCTTGAAGAGGCTGTTTTTGTTTTTATTGTCTTTTAAGGAGTGAACCAAGGATAAGTGATTTTTCTGGTAGTGTTGAAAGAGATTTTGGAATAACTTGTGACTGCATGTAATCCTGGCAGTACACATGGTTGTGTTTGCTATGCAGCTCATTAACAGAATTGCACAGAATCAGAGAATGGCCAGGGTTGGAAGGGACACTTGAAGTCTTTTTTTTACTGAATGATTTACAGAAAATTGCAGGCGTTACATGCAAATTCTTATAATAGTTTTTAATAGCATACTCCAGATAATTTGCTTTGTATGTAACTGCTGTTATTTGGGAAGGAAATCAGCTTTTCATTCTGTGTCCATTTTTTAAATGTATTAAGTCTAAAAATTTAAGTTTGTAGAGCAGTTGAGTATACTTTTTTGGGGTCATTTTGTTGCTTGAAGTTCTGTATAAGTTCATAGAGTGGGTGTTCGTTACAACCATAAAATCATAAAGTTGTAGAAAAACTACAGTTGAAGGAGAACCAATGGTAGTAACTAATCCAACTCTGTGTTAGAAAGGAATGGATAGCTTCAAAGTTAGATCAAATTGCTCCAAGCCATCTGGCAAAGTTTTATAGCCCACAGCCTCTGCCATTAGTCAGGTTATCAAGCACTGCTTCCTGTTCTATAATCTATGAATAACTCAAGAAAAAAATATGGGGAGGGGAAGATTACTATGATTTAAGTAAAGAATGTTTTATTCTGAACTTCTGTGGACACGATTTTAGCTAAAATGAACAAATTACACGTGAATGGTAATATCTTAATCTAAAGAGTATATTTGTTTCAACACAAATTTTTTTTAATTCAGGCAAGTCTGACAAGAAAGCTCTACTTCTAGCTCTGCCATTGATGGTAGGCAGGGCATATATAAATTATTAAAGCTTTAATATCCAGATTTTTTTAACTGAGCCTGCTTCCATGCATGCAGCCTTACTGTCTATATTTTACTTTTTTTTTTTTTTTTTTAATTTAATATCTTACTGTCTCTTAGAATCAAGCAAATTAACTTTTACTTTCTCTTAAAAAGGTCGCATACTGGTGAAAAGCCCTTTAAGTGCTCTCAGTGTGGAAGAGGTTTTGTGTCAGCAGGAGTTCTGAAAGCACATATTAGAACACATACTGGACTGAAAGCTTTTAAGTGTCTTATATGCAACGGGGCCTTCACTACTGGTGGTAGCCTCAGGCGGCACATGGGGATCCATAATGACCTTCGGCCGTATATGTGTCCGTATTGTCAAAAAACATTCAAAACCTCATTAAACTGTAAAAAACATATGAAGACTCATAGGTACGTTTATGATTTTTGTATGTATCCTTCAACAGTCCTTCCTTAAAAATACTTTGAGAGGCGATTTAGTAATTGCTGATAATCAAAAAGGATACTTATGGGTAACTGATGTAGATTATTGTGTATAATAAAAATTCTGACAAAAATTTTGTGTCTAAGCCATAAAAAGACTTTGTTGCCTTTCATTGCAGGTATGAACTTGCACAGCAACTTCAGCAACATCAGCAGTCTACTTCAATAGATGATTCTACAGTAGATCAACAGGGCATTCGTGTTTCTGCACAGATGCAAGTAGAGATTGAAAGTGATGAGCTGCAGCAGTCAGAAGCTGTTGCAACAGATCAGCAAGCAATTTTAGAGTTAGACCAGCAGCCAGTAGGAGGCACAGAAGAAACAGCGCTTGAACAACAATTGGCTGATCAACCTTTAGAGCAAGATGAGGGTGAGTATATGAAAATAACCAGAGCAATAAAGGGAGTAAAGGCTCACAACTTGATATATTATACAGTTTAGGTATGCTGTTAAAAAGATAGTGTATATTAAGCTTACTAAAATTTATCTGCATCAAATAAAATTACTAAATACATAGGAAAAAAATACTGGCGTAAAACTTGTGCATATCTCATATTTTTATTTGGTGTTTTTCATTGTGTAATTGGTTAGTAATTAATAAAGCCTGCAATAATCAAAGGTTTATATATGTATTCAGCTAATTTTTTTTTAGTTTTAGTAGAGGAAAAGTTTGGATTACTATAAAATTCTTAGGAACAGATGAATTGTCCTGTTAATTACATCTTTTTTTTTTTTCTGTTTTTGTTTTCTGTCCAATTCCCTTCTCTCCCCCATTTCAGATAGATTTGTGACATCGCAGCACGCTTTACAGGAAAACATGACTCAATTTGAGCAACAATCTATAACACAGCAGTCATTTGATCAACAGGGCTTATCACAAGGTTAGTAATAAATAAAAGTTTTATAAAGCTTTTGAAAGTAATCTTTATAAATTTTATTCTGCAGCATAGCTATCATAAGGCATTTTGAAACAGCATCCACAATTGAAGTAACTGCAATATAAGGAACCTTGCAGAAATATTTTCTTAAATTATGGTTTTGAAGCCATATCTGGTAGAATATTTTGAATACTTAAATATAGTTAGCTTTTCCTTTTATGAGCTGATATTTAGCCATAAAACTATGAAATTTGTAGTCAGGCATTTTATATTCCTTCCATGATTCTGTCTGTAATTACTGTGAAAGCTCTAGCTGTACTTGTTCAGAACCTGTGATGATCAGAAGCAGTCTAAGATTTGACTGAGTAGTTGCTGAGATTCGCTATAGAAAAAGTGTAAAATATATAATCATGTAAAAGGTCAGCTAATGACAGCAATTTCCTTTGTATTTCTGTAAAGCTACATGCATGACAAATGAAGAGATCATAAACACTTGGAAACTTCTTTGTTTTAGCTATAAAATACTCAGAAATGTGCATAAGGAATGCTTATGCATTATGAAGAAATTACTGTGTTGCTTTGCTTTTTGCTGTTGGCTCTGTTGAGTTGGTGCTCGTATGAAGATAGTAGTTTTTTGGTTGGGCGGGGATGTTAAGTTTACAGAGTTTTATTTGTTTCTGACTCCAGCAAAGAACTTTATGTAACTGGTAATCAGTAGTTGATATCCCTGCTGGCTAAACTTCTCTATTCTTCATTTCATTCCCTCTTTAATTGTATGGAGCCTTTTATAAAAATATAATCTATTGCTAAGTTGCATGGAATTGTGAAGAAATAGGATAATTTGTTGCAGATTTCAATTCTCTAGGTTATGCTACTCTGTGTGTAACTGAGAAAATAGATTATGCTCCTCTTTTATTAAGCAGGACTGAAACAGATTCTATTAAAACCCTATAGATTATTATAAATTACCTTTTACAGCTGTCCCAATGAGCAATAAGAGATACAGAATAAAGGTGAAAACTTTCACCATCAGTGTTACTTTCAGTGTGGTGGTGGTTTTTTTTCTTTTGGATTTGTACTGTTTTTTTGAATTTATAAAAAAAATTATTTAAACCTTGTTTTGTTATTTTAGACTTCAGTTCCTAGCATGTTTGTCTTCTTCTTTAAGTAAGTGTTGAATACTTAATGCTTTTTTCAGGAAAGGAAATTGTTCTAGATCCTACAAAACAATTCTTTCATCAGAAATATACATCAGCACAATTGTAAAATTGGTACTGGAGAATCAAAACGTGTTTTTTTTTCCTAAAGCTCATTTGTATAAGATGTTTCCTGTTCTACTTGGAATCTCATCCACAGATTCTCAACTCTTTGAAGTTTCCTTGAAGATCCTGGAGCCCTACAAAATTTTTGAATTTCAGGTAGGTAAGCATTTGCGCGGATGCATGCGTTAAATTGGTCGACCCTCTCCCTATGTCTGCATCTGTGCTTCATGCTCCTGTTTTCTTTTTCCTATCAGCTAGACAGATCATTCAAGTTCTAGACATTTTTTTTTAATTATTTTCTTGGCATTTTTAGGCTGTATTCTTATTAAAATATTTTGGCTCAGTGTTTATTAATAGAACAGCATCAGAGTTCCTAGAAAATCTTCAGGTTTTATTTTTATTGTTTGCTAATTTTAAAGAAAAGGGGAATACATGCATTTCATACAGATGGCTGATGCGTAGGTCTGCGTGGACCTCTCAGAACTTGTTCTTTCTTTCAGGTTTGTTTGCAGTACTTCTACAGAATTTTTGGTTTGTTGAGATAGAGTTTCTTTTTGATATGTTCAGACCTGTTAAGAAGTGCATTTTGAGCGCGCTTCTGATTTCATCTGGGATTTGTTTCAGGTAGTTTTGAAGGACAGTAAAAGGACTGCAGTGTTCTGTCTGGTCTTACATATCCAGGTATACTCATTTTTAGTGAGGTCAGAACAACTGAATAGATCTTTTTTATCAGGACATGTCTTTGGGTTGTTGAACATCATCTGTCACCAAACATGTTTTCATATAGATTATGTCACCCTTTCTTCATTTGAAGTCTCCCTGGAAGCATGGTTGAATGTTAATGATTAAATTAGTGGTAAAGGGGGGAGTGTTTTTGACATACTACAAGAATTTCAAATACTATTATTCTGTAGCCCATGTGAATACCCCCTTGCCACCAGACTGCTGTTCTGCTTTCTTAAGAACTTGATTTACAGACTTAGGACTTGGTACTCCTGCTCTTTGAGTAACTGTTTACACATGGATTCCAGTGGATGCTGCTCTCTTGGTTCTAGAAGTTGCCTAAGTAGCCAACTTGCAGAACATTTGATTGCTAGTCACTGATCTCCACAGGGATCAACAAGTGCATGTAGATGCATTTGTGATATTAGAATTTACATGACCAGTCAGTTCAGAAAACAAAGACTTTGAGTTGTCAGAGCAAACCAAGATAGTGTATTTTCTATGAACCATTATACAGTTTGATTTCAGATTCTGCTCATAAACTGATTTACAGAATATTCTATATTTTCAGTAAATTCTGTCAGTGTAGAAGAGAGTAGGTTGGGTGATGTTACAAATTACATTGCAATTGATGACTTACACTGAACATAAAAGGTCTTTCGGAGTTTAGAAGACTGTTGTATGAGACTCCTGTTATTAACTTTGGTGCTGAAGTTGTTTTCTGTTCTTTGCTTGGCAAAAAAAGGTTAGGCAAAAGTTTGAGGAAAATGATAGGTATTGATGGGAAATAAGAGCAGAAATTAAAAGCTCCAGTTATACTTCTGTCTCCTCAGACTTTTTAAAGTTGTTCTGTGAAAATGGTGTGGTGGTGGCAATTGTCGTCCACATATTCAGAGTTGTCAGATCCTTTCAAATTTTGAGTGGACATTGACCTTCAGCCTAGGTGCTGAGCAACATGATGTGTATGTATTCCTGTTAAACATTTGGTTTGTATTTATCCCTGATCTGCTTTCAGAAGTAGTATTTCTTTCTTCAGTTTGTCCCAAAATAACTCCAAGTTCAGAACTTTGCTTCCTAAGCACTTTGGGAATTTTTTAAATCTCTGGATAAAAATTGATATGGAAAATGACAATTATTAAAACAATTTAAGTGTGTATTCGGTAAAATAGCTTTTTTCCTTCTTTGTTAGTAAAAAATAGTGATGAAAGTATACGTATTTTTTTAGGTTGTTGTTTCTTTTTACATTTGATAGTTATGTCCAAGTTATGTCCATTTCTGTATGGAGGGTATGAAAGTGGCATCTTTTTTTCCCCTAGTTTCTTGAGGCCTTTTTTGTGCGTGTATTCTTACCAAATGTAGCAAAAATACTACTTTTCCATAACAATGCTTCTAACATTTTGTTTGAAAACAGCAGTTAGTGGCCATCTAATGACCATAAAGCTTTTCATGGCTGTTCTTCATACCACTCTTAGTTTGTCATTTCACTAAGTGTAGTTCAGCTACAAGATTTAGTCTCTAGAATCTTTTTATTTCCTATAATCTTGGCAGTTATAAGAGAGAATCTAATACATGAATTGCAGCATTAGGTTTTGTTCTAAATCACTACCTAACTAATGATGCTTTCAAGATTGGTTTACATTTGTGACTTTTCATTCTATGGTATAAGCAGTAGCACATAAGTAGATTACTTTTCTCTATAGACAGGTGTTCTTTTGCTGTGAAAAATATCTTTTGGGGCAACTTCTGATTATACTTAACGCATCCCAGTGTTTGATATTCTGTAATTCAAAACATTCTCCAAGCGTTGCTTTTTTGGCCTCTGGTGCTGTGATGATCTGATATGGGTTTGTTTCTACCCTGTTTTCATAACCTTCACCCTTTTTGTCCATTGAAGGCAAACTGCACAGAAATAAGAAAATTACTACCCTTATTAATTATGAATACCTGTGGTTTCTCCTTTTTCCCCTGCATAACATTTACTTGTCTATTCATATATGTTAAAAGTATTAGAGCTTGGAAGGGCTGATAAAAGAGCGTGTCTATTAGTATAAAAAATTGCAATCTGAGCTATATTTCCCTGGCTTTGGATGAGTTATGCAGTCCATTCATTCGTTTGTTCAGAAGACAAGGTAATAAAGATCTGATGTTCTAGAAGAACAAAACTAAATAAATGTCAGATCTTTGTACTGGAAATGTGAATGAAAATGTTTATTTTTACTTTGCAGTTTGCCTTTGAGAGGCCATACTTTACTATTATCTAAAGAGTGGGAATATGTGGAGGAGATCCAAAGTAGGAGACAGTGGGGTTACTTTATCAGAAACTGGAGTTCTCCTATTGGGTCATCTCCTCCACTCACCCGCCATCCTCCCCACTGAGCTTTGCATCCTTGTGATCGGCTTCCAGTGTAGTTAAGGGAGCGTGGTACCAACGTGGATAAAGGGAGATGGGTCAACCTGTTTGACACATGCATGCTTACATACAAGAAATTCAAAATTTCAATGGCTCTAAGGTAATTGTGGCACCCTGAAGAAACTTCAAACAGTGTTTTTCTGTGGAGGAGATTGTCCAATAGAATTCCAGCTAATGGTAAGTAACCCAATTACACAATTATGCCAACAACAGTTGTGTATTTTGCCACTCAGCAGTGAAGAATATAAAATGAGTATTACTGTGTGGTAATACTATTTTATCTATTTTGAAGGTAGTCTTCATTAATGTGATGTTATTCAGAGTTCAATTCAGTGTATTTTCTGGTCTTGTGATTTTATATTTCTGGCAGGATTTGCAGTTAATGAGAGCTACAATCAACAGACTCAGTTTCCAGCTGTTCAGCAGCTGCAGGATTCAAGCACACTTGAATCTCAGGCTCTTTCAACAAGTTACCATCCACCATCCCTTCTTCAAGTTCCTAATACAGATGCTATTAATGTAGTAAGTACTGCTAGATGGCACTGTGTTGGGCTCAGTGAGGATTTTCTTGTGAGTTCTTCATAAATAATTATGTGAACTGAGAAATTGGGAAAGTTTCAAATCTTTCCTAGGTTGCTTATGTTAAACTGCTGGGAAAAAGGGAGTGTGGCTTGTAATTAGTTCTTGTTTCATCAAGAATTGTACACTTTGCTCAAGACTTTTTACTTCATAGCATTATATCCTTTTAAATCATAAATCTGGAACTGAGGAACCCCTATGAGTCTTCTCATGTGACTTAGTGTTATAAAATATCTTGCATTATTGCATTGTATTATTTCCTAATTCCTAAATTATTAAAGGTATAATCAAGTAATAAAAGCATTACAAATATGTAAGTCATCATTCACTGAGGTTACATAGTATGTTATTCTTTCATGGTTCTCATCTGATTAAGTTTGTAAAGCAGATCAGTTGCTTAAAAAAACTTTGCAGTTTAAATTTCGCATTTTATTATAGTAACAGCAGATAGCATGAAGGCCATATCTAGTAATGGGGACTGTCTTTACCATACTGAAGTGCATGAATTAAAGCTCTTTTATGCTTTTTGGTAAAAGACAAAATCCGGTCAAGGAAGTGAGGTGGGTTTTCAGATCTGAAGAAGTTGGAGTAAGTTCAGTCTCTGAAGTTTTCTTTAAACATTACAACATGTTTTGCTGGAGGGTTTTTCTGTAGTTGTTTCTCAGAGGAAAAACTTCTCCAGAAAATACTAAAGACTGTCAGTACTAATGCGTATTTTGCTGCTCAATGTAGGTCTTCTATTGCTTAGTAAGTCTACTTTAGGGTTAAATTTAATCCTTCAAACACCATAAAATTTAGGAAAATGTGAGACTTTTTTTTCTAGACTTTTAAGAAGGTATAAGTGCACCTTTGACAGTTTATTCTGACTCAGTAGATGTATGTTTTTCAGCTTTTCCCTATGAAAGAGCTAAGGTATTGCATTGCACTCAATTTCTTGTCATGAATTTGTGAAAGAATAGATCTCTGGCTTTGTGTTTACTTCTGTAAATGCTTGAATTTTTCTTGCCTACTTGCATGGCTTTGTAGTAGTATTTTGTTGTGAAATTTACTTGAGGCTTTGATTTCTAGACTACTCGCTTGATACAAGATCAGTCATCACAAGAAGAGCTTGAATTGCATACCCAAAGGCCTCATTTTCTTGAGGACAGTGAAGATCAAAGCAGGCGTTCATATAGGTTTGTTATACTTTACTTTTAGGTTCAGCCGTAGAATTTCCTGGATGTCTTATGGCCACTAACTGTATGCAACTAATAATTTTGTTTTAATAGATGTGAATATTGCAACAAGGGTTTTAAGAAATCCAGCCATTTGAAACAACATGTACGATCGCATACTGGTGAGAAGCCTTATAAATGCCAACTATGTGGCCGTGGCTTTGTTTCCTCAGGAGTTCTTAAGTCACATGAAAAGACTCATACAGGTAACAGAGTATGCCAGCTCTCCGTTTTCTTAAGTCAGAGTGTTTACTATACCCAAACTTGTGTAAGTAAACAGAACAACTGCACGTTACTTACTTGTTTCTGTTACTTTAAGGAGTTAAAGCATTCAGCTGTAGCATTTGCAATACATCCTTCACAACTAATGGCAGCCTTACAAGGCACATGGCAACTCACATGAGCATGAAGCCTTACAAGTGCCCATTCTGTGATGAAAGCTTTCGAACAACTGTTCACTGCAAAAAGCATATGAAAAAACATCAAGCAGTCTCCTCAGCTGTAGCATCAGCTACAGAAACAGGAGGGGGAGGTAATTTCATTTTTACTCTTATAGTCCTTACTACGTAACAAGTACAAATGTTTCAGTAGGTTACATGAATGCTGTACCAATAATGCTATAAATTAACCTTAATGCATGGGTAACATGTAATGTCCAGGGCTGCTGGAACTGCTTTTTTGTCTAAGTTGTTGTAAGAAATCAGTCTGCTAGGAGGCTATCCAGTGTACTCAAGGTATTGTATGTTACATAATGACTTTTTGTGCCACTAAAGTAGAAGTCTTTTGTTCTAAATTTATACCTGTATTCAATTATTGTAAAAACAAAAGTAATAAATCTAGTGTTATTTTAAAGATATATACATAGTTACATCTCTTAAAGAGAGATTAAGTGGAAGCACGGGCTGCACAGTGGCCTTGTATTTAATAATGTATTTGTAATAAGCGTTATGTTTTTGTAATTTCAGCTGACAGATTAAACTAAAAATACGTGTGTGTGTGTATATATATATATATATATATATATATAATTTTTCTTTTTTGTAGTTGCGTGTGTTGAAGATGATGATGAAAATTCTGAAAGAGCTTCCAGAAAATCTCGTCCTGGTGTCATAACTTTTACAGAAGAAGAAACAGCAGAACTGGCAAAAATTAGGCCTCGAGAAAGTGCTACTGTGTCAGAAAAAGTTCTTGTTCAGTCTGCTGCAGAGAAAGACAGAATTAGTGAGATCAAAGATAAGCAGGCAGAATTGGAAGCAGAGCCTAAATATGCCAACTGTTGTAGTTACTGCCCCAAAAGCTTTAAAAAGCCCAGTGATTTAGTCAGGTAAGAAATGGAAAACTTCTGTATCTTTTCAATTTTCCAAATTCTTTAGCAGACATTTGGTAGTAACAGATCGTTTTAACTTTTTATGCCTAAGCTAAGGCTTGACTCATGTTTATGTAAATTTATCTTTTTCAGAATGGTTTAAAAATACGTATGTATGGTTTAACAGTATGTATGAAATTGTTGCTTGTTCTGTATCTGAGTAGAACAGCCTTTTCATGTTTCCGGTTTCCTACGCTATTAGAACCTTTTTTACAGTTTCAGAATAAATTATTTTTCCGTAAAACAAGACTTGCATATAAAAATAAAACAAAAATAAAATAAAACAAGAATATTCTTTCAGTTTGACAAATTGTGCAAGTTTGAATTGTCTTCCTTAGTTGTTCTGCTTACTGTAAAGCTGATATTAATTGTTGAGGATTTCTAAAATTAATAATGTAGAAAATATTCATAGAAGCTGACATAAGGACAGAAATTCACTTGTGTGTGTATTTTGGAATTATTAGGCATGTTCGTATCCATACTGGAGAGAAGCCGTATAAGTGCGAAGAATGTGGGAAGAGTTTCACTGTAAAATCCACTCTAGATTGTCATGTTAAAACACATACAGGTCAGTATGATTTTGAATGTCTTTGTCAAGAAACCAGTTACTTTCGTAGCTGTGTTAGCTTGAAGGTTTTGGGAGGGATTATATATTTCACTATGATGTGGGGAAAATGGCATGAGTGCCATGGCTAGGTGGCATTTGGTGCTTGCAGCGTCATCGAGTTTAATCGTATGGTTTATTCAAAATGCCATAATAATGTTCGTGGAGAATATATATATATGTATCTGCACTAATTTAATCATAAATTAGTGGTAATATCTCAGTGCTAAATGGTTTTCCTGAGCAAGAGGGTGGAGTTAAAAATAATAATAATAATTTATAAAATTAAATGTTAAAAATTCTTTGAGTTTGTGGTGGTCTTTAAAAATGCTACATTGTTTGCAAAAGCTTAAGATTTGAGGTGATTGTTTTAAATTTCTTTGAGCGAGCACTTCAATTATGTTTCTTTTCAGTTATCTTATTAGAATGGTTTGGGTTGGAAGGGACCTTTAAGATCAATTCCAATCCCACTGCCCCAGTCAGCAGTATCTCCCTCTAGACCATGTCCCATCCAGCTTTGCTTTGAATACTTCCATAGAGGGGGCTTTCTAATGGATGCTGTTGACCTTTGTTCTGTGGTTACTATACATAGTTACACTTCATTGTTATACATAAAACCAGGTCTCAACAACCAGGTTGTGAGATTTGGTCCTTTGGCTAAATACTTACTCCCAGCATCTCATTTTGATTTAGCATATACAGCGTGGTGGCATAACACACATTATTATAGTTCTGCTTCATTGCTTATTGATTTCTTGTGTATATAATGGTTCTTTTAATAATTTGATTGGATAGCAAGCAGTATGACATAATCTTGTAGATGCAATAAAGTACACTTAATTACACTTTGATACTCTTTTGACTAATACTTTGATGCTGCTTTAGCATTTGGCATTTGTATATGTCTTTTCATGCCAATTTGTAATAGTCTTCCCTCTAAGTTTCGTTTTGACCATTAGATCCCTGTTCATAGTTGAAGTTCAACATTCCAGTCCATCCGTTCTTCTTTTCACTCTCCAGAATTTTGGCATTTTAATAAAAATCACATCAGATCTTAATTTGAATATTTAACCTTCTGTTTAAAGAGGACTTCAGATGTTGAGTTCACTTTTCACTCTTTAGAATAAAGTAGTTCACTTGGAAGGGACCTACAAAGACCAAGTCCAACTGTCTGATTGCTTCAGGGCTAAACAGAAGTGAAAGCATATGATTAAGGGCATTATCCAAATGCCAGTTGAACTGTTTTGATGTTGTTAATTCATTTGCTGTTCCCTTGTTCTCTGTTCCACCCTGCCTTTTTTTTTCCCCAGGTTTGGTTTTAGAGGGAAAGACTGGAAAATGTTTTTTTCCTTGGTATTCTTAATGGGGGAGATGCCTGTGCTTGCAGTCTGTGCCTCTGTTGTCTTCATGAACTACATTGATTTGTTATTCTTAGGTTGTTTCTGCTGAACTTGAATGCTTCCAGAGATTTTGTTTATGTTGAGCAGAATGTGACATCAGTGTAACCTCAATCTATAATCTGAAATAGGTTGAACTATAATTCAGGAATTTGATGGGAAATTCTTCTGAATAAACGAGACTTAGAACTCAACAGGAGAAACTGCATGCCCTGATTCTTTTTGTGATCTCATTATCAACTGTAAATAATAAACATCACCAGGTCATAGGAATACAGTTCTGACCAGAAAGTAGGTTTTTTTTTTTTGTTTTGTTTCAAACTGAGGTTTTTTTGAAACTACTTGGTTAGTGAGGAATTTGAGAGATGTTAATGAAGATGAGTGGCCTCAAGCTGACCTATTAAGATTCTGAATGAAAAATAAAATGAGTTTCAGAAATTAAGAGGAAGTAAAGATAGACTTAATTTAGGCTACTGGTTCATTTGAAAAACAGCCAAAGTTATAAAGAAAAAGGCTACTTATTTCAATTTCTTTCTTTTCAAAATAGTTTAGAATCAGTATTTTCTTAAATTCTTGGCACAGGTCTGTTGAATTTTAGAGTTATTCTCATTTATCTGTTTGTTTTTTTTTTTTTTTTTTTTTTTTTTTTCCAGGTCAGAAGCTCTTCAGTTGTCACGTGTGCAGTAATTCTTTTTCTACAAAAGGAAGTCTAAAAGTCCACATGCGTCTGCATACAGGAGCAAAGCCATTTAAATGTCCACACTGTGATTTACGGTTTCGTACTTCTGGGCGCAGAAAAACCCACATCCAGTGTCATTATAAACCAGAAACAAAGAAGGTTAGGAAGCCTGTTGCCCGCACTTCAGCTGAGGGATTGCAGCCAGTCAGTCTTCTTAATTCATCTTCAACAGATCCTAATGTTTTCATCATGAATAACTCTGTTTTGACAAGTCAGTTTGATCAAAATTTACTTCAACAAGGACTTGTGGGCCAGGCTATCCTGCCTGCTTCCGTGTCAGGTAAAAATGGATGACTTTTTGGTGGTGGTATTTAAATCAAGTACTGAACTTTGTTTTCTGTTAGAGTTCAGAAACTTATACCAAACACTACTTCCAAACAGGTAAGCGTTGTATTGCATTGATAACTTGATGCACAGTCATGACATAAATAGAAATTTATTTTAGAATGAAAGTGAAAATGTTATGGTAGTCACAGTTAACCTGGAAGGTTCTCTTCAGGTCTGCTGTGATGTTGAACTATAGAAAGGAAAAAAAAAATGTTGATAATAAATAGGTAGACTACTTGTATTCTTTTTGTAATATTCTTGCCTTTTCCTAATAAGGAAAGAAGCAAAATGATTATTAATACCACATTTATCACAAATCAGACTTTTCAAATAACATTTATCAGTATCTTCCAAGCTCATTTGGCTGGATTTAGATAACTGTTTAGAGTAAGTCATAAGATGAGCTCAGATTACTGGAGTTAAATACCAGAGTGATACATTGCTATGAAACTACCTGATGTTTGCTTGGAATTCCGAGTGAACAGAATGAAGCATTTGTTATGTTCAGAAATCCTAGGAAGAGGCAGGAAAGTTCTGAAATCCAGGCTAGTGGTTTGTATTTTGCCCTGAGTAGATATTTTTTGTGAAGATGTTTTTATGCTAAAGATACTTATTCACAAAGAAGGATGATTTTCGGGCATCCACTAAAGGATGCTGGTTGATCATAATAAAGGTGTTTTTGGAGATTGTATGTCAAACACGAGGTGATCTTTACACATTTTGGGAGCTTTTGTAGAGGTAGTGTCTTCGATTTTTAACATTAGCTTTCTAAATTGCTAAGATTTCGATTTTCAAATGCTAATGCACTTTTTTTTCCCATCCATGTGATTACATAGGTTGTCCATAGTTTCCTTGAACAATATTTATGTGCTGTGTATAAATATGGTAACAGCTCTCACGTGTGCTAAGGGTCAGAATGCACATACCTTGTGTGTATAATTGCTGCTTGTTTTTAGGGGTAGCATACACTTAGGAACACTTAAAGCAAATTTCTCCAGATTTGTCTTGGTAGGTGCTCTGGAGTGGTTCTTATTTTGGAAGATGCCAGCTACTGTTTAAATAATAACTATCCCTAAATGACATGGAACTTATTAAATTTTAAACTAGCCAGCCAGAATGTTGAAATGACGCACAAAAGTGTGTATGTGTAGTTTCTGTATTGATTTTGTTTATAAAAATAAGCAAGCTAAAAGAGGCGGTCAGTAATGATAAAGAAAAACATAATGCAACTGTTTTCTTTGGTAGCTGGAGGTGACTTAACTGTGTCCTTGACAGATGGTAGCTTGGCCACTCTTGAAGGAATACAGTTACAACTTGCTGCTAATCTGGTTGGACAAAATGTTCAAATCTCTGGAATTGATGCTGCTAGTATCAACAACATAACATTACAGGTAGGTTGTTTTCAGTTTATTTGATTTTATAGAATCAGTTTGAAGACTGAAGGAAGTTTAATGAGTATATGTACTTCTGAAGTAGTACTTTTGAGTGAGACATCTGACAGCTCCATGCTGTTTCAGTTGTATCATGTTAGAGCTTAGGTTCATGGTGGGATTTTTGTTTTGGCTTTTTTCTCTTCAAGTTTTTCGGATTTTTACCTCTCTGGGATTTTGACAGATTTCTTTAAAATCCATTTTTTTTTTTTCTTTTAATGGCGTTTTGTCTTTTCATTTTAAAAAAACATTTTAAGCAACATCTCCCCTCCCAGTCACCCTCCTCAAAACAGAAGAACCCAAATGTTACTAAAAATTTTCCTTACCATGACACTTGCGTTGTCTAGTTTCAAACATTTAGACTCATAGTTCAAATGCCATTTGAACTTGTAAAATGAACAATAGAAATACTTTACATAAAAGAAAGTGAAATTAATAAATTTGAGAATTCAAAATGACATGAAAGAATCGTTTGATGAAATTGGTTGGGTTTGATTAGTTTCAGAGACTTGTTTTGAGGAAAAGACTTCTGGTGACTTCTATGTCCAACTCCTAGGTCAAGGAAAGATCATCATCTGAATTGCATTGGTTCATTTGAAGTCTGTCTACTTAAAAAGTTTATAGCTAAAAGTAAAGGAAACTGTAGCTTTGTTTCCCTTAATTCCCAAACACTCATCCCAAAGAAAACTGTGTATTTAAATATTGAAAACAGATATTTTCTGGTGAACTGGAACTTCTAGGACCCATAAAGACTGAAAAAGAGATCATTTCTGATGGTCTTTTTCCCTTCTGCTCCTTTCAGTGATTTGTGAGCAATAAGCCTTGCATGCAAGACACTACAAAATGCCAATATAGTAGATACCCAGTATGCCTATTTGTAGCTGTGATCATGATTTCCTGAACCTGGACGTTGAATAGGCATCCTACAAATAGATACTTCAAAAATTTTAATTTTTTTAATAGTAATCTTAAATAGTATATATTCCAAATGCACCTTTCTGAATTCTGGATTTGTTATAAATATTCATGTAACCCAGATTTATTAAGTCAGATTGATCAGACTGAGAATTTGTTTTTCAGATTGATCCAAGCATTCTACAGCAAACCTTACAGCAGAGTAATATACTTGCTCAGCAACTAACTGGAGATCCCAGTATGGCTCCACAGAATCCCTCCCTCCAGACAGCGGAAAATGCAGTGCCAGCTAACGTGGTTATTCAGCCTGTATCAGGCCTGTCTTTGCAGCCTACAGTAACATCTTCAGCTAACATGACAATTGGATCCCTATCTGAGCAAGAGTCTGTGCTGACGACCAGTGCTAGTGGTGAGTAGTGCCACTAGTCTTATGCTTTGAATTGTTTAGCATTAACTTTTCACTTTTTTTAATACTTCGTTTAGTAAGTTGGATATATGCTTCTTGTAACAGCGTATTTGTCAAATTCTGCAACTTTATCACTTTTGAATACAAGGTTTTCATAATGTGTACTACAAAATTGAAGAATATGTATAGCTTTTAGGAATATAAAAGCTTTTTAAGTTGTAGAGGAATAAATTAGACTGTGGAAATAATTTCTCCTTTAGATTGCAAGTTTTAGCATCTTACCTTGGCTAAGTCTTTCATACTAGTTCAAAAAATAATGTTGTAATTGTAGTTTTACAAAATATATATTGTAAAGAAAGGATATTCATGGAAATTTTTGTTCTACCTTTTTATATTTAGGTACACAGGACATCTCTCAGGTCATGACTTCACAGGGTATGGTGTCATCTTCAAATGGACAACATGAGATAACATTGACCATAAATAATTCCAGTTTGAGTCAAGTTCTAGCTCATGCTACAGGTTCTACTACTGCAAGCTCATCAGGAAGTCCTCAAGAAATCACTCTTACAATATCTGGTTGGTATTTCTAATTATTTTTAGTGGTACCAGATCTCTGTTTCAGAGGCTAGCTGGTACGGTATTTGAGCATATTTTTGCTGTCATCTGCATTCCTTTTTATATTCATCAGCTTTAAAAGGTATTTTCTAAATCTACCTTTGAAAGCCAAATGCAATTGCAGTGAGTACAAATGTAAGATCAGTTCCCTGTTTTATTCATGGTCTTATTTCAACAGATATTTCTCAGGGGGAAAGTTTGTGTAAGCAGTTCTTATTTCCTTGCTGTGACTCATTTGGCTTAGTGCAATTCCTGGGTAATTCCTGGTGGGATAGGAGCAAGCAGCTCAAGGCAGGCATTGGGGTTGAGTTTATTTAATATAAATTCACTTCCATACCTGTTCCAATACATATTCCAAAAGATGTTCTGACCATCCTTGCATGTGTACTCTTCAGTCACTGTAGTAAGTAGTTAGTACTCTAGGTGTCTTTAAACACATTTAGACTATCTTTACTGCCTTTAGGAAACTGATTTTATGTACAATATAATTAGCAGTCCACTTTCCTCAAAGACATGTTTGTTTAATTACATTTCTTAAGTGGATCCAGTGTTTTAACTATTAGTCTTCAGTTTGCTAGCTTGTATAGTTTCATGAAGTTCTTGTGCCTTGAATTTAAGATCTATCAGTATTCGTCTAAATATTAAGAAGTACAGGTATTTCTCTGTATATTGCCATCTGAACCTATATTAAGAATATGTTGAAGTTTTTTGTAAAAATATGCATGTGAAGAAGTGAATCTTGTTTTGGTTTTATCTTCTGCTTTTAATTTATGATCACTTTTTTTTTTTTTTAAATTGAGTGTAGTAGTAGAATAATGTTGAGATATTTCTGGCTGTAATAGGACTAATTTCTTTTTAGGTCAAGATCTTATTCAGCACAATTCTGGAAGCAGTGATCTGAATAGTAGCTTAAGGTTGACAGCACCAACCATCAACAGTCAGAGTACAGGTGCAACATTAACTATAAGTAATGACCACCTTCTTTCTCAGGGCACTTCACTAAATGCTCCAGGTATGCTTCCAGTGATTTTCTAACAAGAAATAAGTTTGTTAAAAAAAAATAAGCTTTAGGCAGGAATAATACAGTCTTGCACACTACAATTAAGTAACAACAAGATTTAGATGTTTTCTCAGTAGTTTTAAATTGCTGTACCAATTTAAATTATCCACTCCACAGAACAAGAAGGAAATGCCTACCCCTAGGATATTCTGTAGATTGTTTGTTTTTGTTTTACATATATTCCAGAGCTTAATACAACAACTGGAACAAACCTTCCTTCAACAACACCCATATCTCAATCTACAGTTTCTGCCCAGAATTTGGTCATGTCTTCATCAGGAGTTGGAGGAGATGGTAGTGTCACTTTGACCCTTGCTGATACTCAGGGAATGTTGTCAGGTGGTCTTGATGCAGTTACACTTAATATCACATCACAGGTAAGAAGTGTTTTTCTGAACTGACAGATAAGCTAGCTTTATTGTCTTAGAGGGCTGGAATTAGGATTTTTCTTAGAAAATAATTTTGAGATGAATTTTTTGTGATAAACTGGTTTTATATATGGGTGCTGTAATTTCTTCTTTAGAAGGCAAAAGCTGTCAAAATACAAGAAACGTAATGTCTTCTAATTGTAGCTTTTTTTTTGTTTGTTTTTTCCTCTTTAAATAAAAAGGGGGATGAGTAAAGAGTATTTGCTGTGGGTACCTAATGGTAAAGCTGGTAGATATTATTTTCTCAAGGATTGGCATAAATGTTACAGTAAAAATGTTTCAGAGATGTTCAGCAAATCTACCTAAGATAAGGTACATGCAGGATAAATAATAAAGAAGATGATTATCTTTTTGCTTTGTGTTTTTTTCTGGTTAAACCTTGTCTGTATCTCTGCCTTTGTTGTGAGTGAAATTGTTTTGTTGTCGTTCTTAATGAGTTGTTGGTTTTTTTTATCCCTGCTTTTCAAAAGATAGGACAATATGATCAAAACAAGAAGCTGTGTTGGGGAAAACTGAAAAACAATTTTAAATTTATCTGAGGAGGAACAGTTAATCTTTAATAATAGGACACGTTATGGAGACTGTGGTGTAGTACCTTCCTTGAGGTTTTGCATCGTGGAGACCTAAATAAGATTGTTCTTTTACCTTGAGCGTGCTTGAGAACATGTGAACTGAAGAGAAATTGGAACAGGTCTCTTCACAGCAACATAAGTGTTTAAATGAATTATGTTGTCTGGAAATTGGTCTAGATTAGGGCCATGGAGATGATTAGAGAGCTGGAGTGCACCCATCTACGGAGAGAGGCTGAGAACTGGGGATGTTAAACCTGGAGAAGAGAAGGCTTTGGGGAGATTGTATTGTGCCCTTTCAGTATTTAAAGGGGGCTTATGAAAAAAATGGAAACTGACTTTTTACATGGCCTAATAGTGAGAGGATAAAGGGAAACAGTTTTGAAGTTAAATAAGAGATTTAGATTACATGTTGGGGGAAATTCTTCACTCAGAGGGTGAATGAGGCACAGGGGCTGCCCTGAGAAGCTGAGGGGGCCACATTTCTGGGGATATCCAAAGCCAGGTAGGCTGGGGCTTTGATCTCGTGGAATATATCCTTGCCCATGGAAGGTGGGTTAAAAGCAGAAGGCCCCTTCCAACCCAAGACATTCTATGAATAAAGAGGTAAACTTACAAGAAGTTACACAAGAATAATGCCGTATGACTATTATCTCTCAAGAAGCTTCAGTATTAATTTCATTCTTATCATAATGTAAGATTTTTGTAGTGTTGTCAAAAGCTAAAGTCAAGAAAGGGTTGCGGGAAGGCTTGCGTGATTCTTGTGAACTGTTGAGAATTTTTGATGTTGTGGAATAAAGAAGCAACATATATTTTCATTTCAGAGTTTGTAATAATTTAAACAATGTAGATTTAGCAGTGTTGATGTTTATTAATAAGACACTACTCTTAATACTAAGTCAAGTAAGAAATTGGATGCTGCACAAGTACGCTGTACATAGTATGAATCTTGATAAATGGGTTGGTAATGTGTAACATACATTCACATGTAGAGATTCACATGTAGAAGTTCTAGTGGTAATGTAGAAATAGAAATAATGTGATTTTAAAAATTCTGAAACTTAATTTGTTATTTTATATTTTGACTTCATGTACTTTGGAAATATGTTTAATTAGTAGATTTAAAAAAGGAAAGATCTGTGGAAAGACCACACAAAAAAGCAAAAGATAACATTATGGAGAGCATCATCTAAAGAGGCAAAAGATGAAGGCTGAAATGTGCAGCAATTGATGCAAGATGGGGAAAAATTAGAGTTTTTGCTTTTTTGGACTTCCAATTGTTCTTACACTTAACACCTTGGTATATTTAAAATCAGAGGAGAAGGAATGCTTCTAGCAGTTGTTCAAATAAATTGTCATGGTATTTTTCAAGGAAAAAAAAGAGGTAGTTTTGAGGTATAAAAATAATTTGTGTGACTGCAATTAATTGTTTAAATGTAGTTACTCTTCTTTTTTTTTTTTCTTTTTTTCCCTTCCCTCTTTGACAGGGTCAGCAGTTCCCTGCTATACTCGCGGATTCCAGTCTCGCTAGCCAAAGTGGGTCAGGCTCACAGCAAGTCATACTGGTGAGCCATACACCCCATTCAGCAGCTACAAACTCTGATGAAATAACGTATCAGGTAGATATTATATATTTCTGTATCTCTTGTGGGTAAAGAATGTTATTAATAAAAATATTAGGATAATTCCTTTGTATACTGAAGCAGGAAGGCTGATGTCATTCCTAAGAGCACTGGGAAGAGATTCATTGTGACTTCCTAATCACCCAGATTGTGTTTAAGTTTTGAGCTGAAAAACAAAAGAGAAATATGTTTAATAATGTGTTTTTCTACAAACTGTAGCAGTGGTTACTCAGCAGTTTTCTCCAAAAAAAATCCAAGTAAATTTGTTAGGTAATAAAAATAAATGAAGTTAAGAGCTGTGGGGAAAAGCAGCATCTATTGCTCTATCTTTTTTTTTTTTTTTTTTTTTTTTTTTTTTTTTTCAGCCAAATTGGTTTAACAATGGAGTATAAACTTTTCAACTTAAGTGTTTTGAGTTTCCACAGGCTGTTACACATGAGTAATGTCAGTAATATTATCAGAAGGGGTAGCTCAGATTTGTCTTGTTGAAGGTAGGATTAATAATTTCGTTAAGGTAACATGATCTCTAAACTGGGAAATACGGTAGAGGCAGATGATGACTAACAGTCAAAGGATGTGGGGCACTGGATTGGCAAGCAGACATCAATATGTAGGCAAGTTGTGACTGATGTGAGTGAGAGAAACTTTTGAACATAAAAAATGCTTGAAAAGAGCAGACCCTCTTCAAGTTTATGCTCATAAGGGTGGTGAGATGACAAAATAGTAGAGGAAACTCCCTCAAGCTTCTTGGAAAATTGTCAGAAATGCATACCTCTCTGGCATGTCTGTACACTGATAGATGCAACTGGAGGTAGGCATACAGTCTGCAATCTGATGGGAATCACAGAAAGAAGGTAGAACACACACAAATGAAGCACAGATATGATAGGATGATGGCTTTTTAGGACAGGACAACAAGACCATAGTAGGATTACATGGAGGTTTGCATAGGAGCTGGATGGTGATTCAGCTGTGGCTTTATGGGGGAATGATGTCTGGAAGATCAGGCTGTGGTGAATACTAATCATTTGCTTCAGATCACGTGATTAAGAAGAATCTGAAGATTTGTATTTCATCAGACACAGTCTTGGGTTTCCTGCCCCTAGCTCACACTTTGAGTAGAGGAACTGAACTAGATGATTTCAAGAAGTCTCTTCCAACCTAAGTAATTCCATGATTTGCAATCTCTGGTTTGCATATACTTCAGCCCACCTAAGATCATCTGAAAGGGCAACAAGCCAGGGTGCAAGGAATCTAGGAAACTTCTGGAGTGTATCAAGAAATTCCTGGTACAGGAGGTTGAAAAGCCAGCAAGGAAAGATGTTCAGCTGGGCTTCATAATTGCAAACAAGGAAGAACTGGTCAGAAATATGAATGTCAGGAACACCCTTGGTAGCTGAGACTGTAGATGATGGAGTTCAGGCACCAGAGAGAAGGAAAGAAACAAAAAAATGATTGGACTGCTGCATTCAGTGATGATGTTACCTGTGCAACAATGTCAAGGCCATTTGCTAGTGGTGTACCTCAGGGTTGAAATACTGGGATGAGTACTATTTAACCTCTTCATTAATGACCTGCGTGATAGAACAGAGAGCATGCTCAATTGATTTGCAGATTATAGAAAACTGTGAGGAGTTTTGTGATGGATTGGATGGTTGTGCTGCCATTGAGAAGCATATTGATAGGCTGGGGAAATGGGCCAACAGGAATGTCATGAAATTCCATTTAGGGAAATGCAGAGTTCAGTCCCTGGAGAAAAATAACCCCATGCACTGGTATGTGCTGGAAAGCAGCTTAGTAGAGCAGGACTTGTATGTGGAGGGGGTGAGGGGTACTAGTGAACAAGTATTTAACCATGAGTTAGCAATGTGCTCTTGCAGCAGAGGTGGTCAGCAGCATCCTTGGATTCATTTAAGAGCAGGATTGGGAGGGAGGTGATTGTCCCCCTCTATTCAGCTCTTGTGAGACCCCATCTGGAGTATTGTGTCCAGGCCTGGGGCACCCAGCAGAAGAAAGACGCAGAGTTCTTGGAGTGGGTTCAGAGGAGGGCCACTAAGAAGATCAGAGGGCTGGAGTACCTTTCCTGTGAGGAAAGGTTGAGGGAACTGGGATTGTTTAGCTTGGAAAGAGAATGCTCTGGGGAGACATCATTGTGGCCTTCCAGTACCTTGAAGGGAGTGTATAAACAGGAAGGGGGATGACTGTTTACGTGGGTGATAGTGATAGGGCAAGAGGGAGTGGTTTTAAACTGAGACAGGGGAGGTTTAGGTTAGATATTAGGAAGAAGTTTTCTTCTCAGGAGGTGGTGATGCACTGGAAGAGGTTGCCCAAGGAGGTTGTGGATGCCCCATCTGTGGAGGCATTCGAGGCCAGGTTGGATGTGTCTCTGGGCAGCCTGGTCTGGTGGTTGATGACCATTCAGATAGCAGGGGGGTTGAAACTAGATGATCTTTGAGGTCCTTTTCAACCTAGGCCATTCTATGACTATAATTGCCAGCAGGGCAATAGGAGATGATTCTTTCCCTTTACTCAGCACCAATGAAAGGACATGCTGTGGAGTGCTCTGCCCAGTCATAACTCACCAGTAAAATAGGGACATGAACATATGGCAGGGAGTACAGTGAAGGGCTGCAGAGATGATTGTGTTAGTGTCTGCTGCAGGAGGAGAGACAGAGTGTGGGGATTGTTCAGCCTGATAAAAGCCTTCGTGGTGGTTGGTGATGGTGAGGTTGTTCTTAACAGTGTGCATGGTATCTGATGTGAGGGAATAAAGCAGACAGAGCCAGTCTGATTTCAGTGGTGCTTATGAAACGACAGCAGGCTATAACCCTTGTTTTACTGTGAGTGAAACAGGTGGTTGAATTCTGGACAAATTTTCAGGAGAGTCTGGAGTCTCCATACTTGATATTCAGAAGCTGTCTGGGCATGACTGTGAGCCTGCTCTTGGGAATTTTGGAATAGATGATCTCAAGGCATCCCTTCCAACTTGAACTATTCTATTAATTTCCTATTTTTACACTTTCATATGGTTGAATGAGAATTCTGAACAATTTTGCAGGGTTCACATACTCTGTGAAAATGGGTGGTCTAAAATTTTACTTGCCCATATTGTATCTCCTCTAAATTTAGGACTGGATTTTGTCTTTCAATTTATATATGCTTTCATAAATCAGAGTAGCATTTCATAAGGCTTACTAGAATGTCACCTGCAAACTGTGACAGAACCTGAGAAGCCATACGGTAGCAGTCAACATGTAACACTAATGAAGACCACTTTCCTTTCTGGTGACTGTTAATTTACCAGTAAACATTTCAGCAATTTCTTGAAAGGTTCGAACTAGTTGGAAATGTATAAATAAGTGTGTGTGATAAAAGGTTTTTTCTAATCCCTTCTTTTAGTTGTTTTGATATTACATCATTACTAATTTTGTTATATTCCTGATTTTTACTATGGGTAATGTTCTGCACTGCTTTGTACCTTTCTCGAGTTTAGTTCATCCTGAATTAGTCACTTAGCACTTAGTTTCTTTTCTGTATTTTCATATATTTCTTTTTAAAGAAAAAAATTCCATGAAGTTGAACAAGTTTCATGTTGCCTCCTTTGAGGAAAGTGAAACACAGCAAAACCATGCCCAGACCCTGTCAGCTTTTCATTGTTATTTCTGAGACTGTGTTAGTAGCTCAAAAATGCTTACTTAAGGTAACTGAATCCCTAATGAATGAATTAACCACATGGAAAACCATAAACATTCTCCTTTGTAAATGTCAGAGATGTTTTCTCTCTTTCTCTCTCTTTCTTTTCTCTGGAACTTTGTTTGGCTTTGAATTTTGTTTGTTAAGAATCATTTGAGATCTCAGGAATATAAAACTGGATGTAAAAAATTATTTATGTACTCAGACACATCAGATTTTACTGCATAAATGAATTTGAGCATAGTTACTCTAATCTTTTTGTTTCCTTAAAATTTGGTTATTCTAAGAGCAGTGAAATACATGGTTGTTTACATACAATTTGTCTTTCCTTTGTGTTGATAAGGTGCTTGCAAGCACCCTCAAAAAATTGATCACATCAAAGCAGCATCCAGAACAACCACCCAGTCTGCTGTGAGTGTACTTGATTATTTGACTGTGTTTTATAAATCGTTATAGGTGACAGAGGTTTCTCCTAATGTGACTAAAAGCAATCAAGCAGAAAAAGAAGGTCGTGTGCACCAGTGTTTTGAGTGTAGTCAGACCTTTTCTTCAGCCACCATGCTGATGCATCACAGTAAAGAGGTTCACGGCAAGGAAAGAATACATGTTTGTCATGTCTGCAATAAAGCCTTTAAGCGGGCAACACATCTCAAGGTATTTGGTAATAACAGTGGATTGTTCTGATAACTTGTTCTTTTGTTTTGGAATTGTTGTCATGTTACTGAAAGATACCTGTTAGCCCTTTACTTTTTCTGTTCATGCATAGTTTGTGAAGTGCATGATGTCTGTGAGGGGGAACTTAAATGACAGCATATGCTGACATAACTCTTCCATTGAGCATGGAGAAGTTTTTAGTGTTTTAATGTATATGTTGTCCACAAAAAGAAAGACGTGGATACCTGTCATATAAACAGTGGTGTCAGAAAAAGGTGTTTATTCTGTTCTCTTATATATATATTATTGCTACTTATCTTCTTTTCCAGATACACTTTTTGTAATTGTAAAATGCAAAGCAAAATCCTTGCTCTTATTTGATTTTTGGGTGTTCTGTTTTGTGAGTACAAGTGACATCTTCAGAGCAAACATTTGTTTTAAAATCCCCTTATGTTGTTGCTGTTCAGTACTTAAGAGAGTTTTTCAGAAGATTTCTTCTCACTGTAGTATCATATTTTAAGGAAATATACTTTGGTTGTGAAGCTTGTGCCTTTTGGGCGAGCACATGTGACAAAAAGATTATTGGTTCTTGGGAAAACACAAAATGCTGTGAAACTCAGTTACCTATATTTTATGAGAAAGTTTTCAGCAAAAAAAAAAAAAAAAAAGAGATTTGAATACAGAATTAGTAATTGTGAAAATGAAGAAATCAGACACCAATCTCCTAAACTTCTTTTTGTGGAAGTAAACTTTTTGAGCCCAGTGTTAGTGAATTAAGTTCACTGATGGTAAATTATTAATACCTAGTAAAATTGTGCTGTCTTACCTTTCTGAGCTTTTTAGGATGTTTCTTAAGAACCTTAGTGGTTTTTTTTTTTTCTTTTTGAGTAATTCAGCAATTGGTTGTAAGTGGTTCCATTTGCATGCTGACACTATAGCTGTGTGTGTAGCAGTGCTCTCCTTTGAGGCCTTTACTGTTTTAGAATGATCTTCATTTGGGACCTGGGTTCAAATGCCTGTGTATCAGGCAAGTGATGGGGAGGTGGGTACTGTAGAAAGGGAGAAAAAGCTAGCTTATGATACATAGTTGACAAAAATCTATGTTTGTAAGTGATAAAAACATTCAAAGAGCACTGGGTTTTCATGAGTAACGTTATATTATCTTCAGATAATTTGTGAAGGTACTAACTTATGCAAAATAAATATTTCTTGACAGAGGCTTTCAGAAATGTAAAGCTACTGATGCCTCAGCCCTACAAAGAGATGATATACAAACAAGTCTCTCTTTTAGAAAAAAATGCAGGGTTCCATCTTCTGTGTGTTTTCTATTGATGACTAAGATCATCTGCTTTTATCTTCAAAAGTGAATATGTTTCTATGCTCAATGGTTCTAAGATGTCATCTTTTCTGTGCTACCTTAGGAACACATGCAAACCCATCAGGCTGGACCTTCACTGAGTTCCCAGAAACCTCGGGTGTTTAAGTGTGATACCTGTGAAAAAGCTTTTGCGAAGCCAAGTCAGTTGGAGAGACATTGTCGCATTCACACAGGTAACATCAGAAATGATCTTCATCTCATACAATTTTCTTATGCATATGTGACTGTTACATTTCAGAGTGTTTGCTCTTAGGTTCAGGTGATTGCATTTAGATAACAAAGAAAAAAGAAAAAAGAAAGGTTAAAATGAGAGCAAACTTGCAATCTCAACTAGCATGATATTCTGTTTAAATCTATGCTTAGTAGTGAGACTAAGAATCTCCATATATTGGCACTCACTGTACTGCAGCAGTGATGTGAATACACAAGCTTATGTTGAAAATTTTGTCATTGAAATAGATTGATAAATGGATTTTTTAAGGCATTGTTTGAAAACACTGGATATCTTCAAGACTGTAGGAGAGTGTGCAAATGTATTGGTGTGTTCAGTGATGTTAAAGAACAGTCTTAACTGCTGAAGCTGACTGCTGTAAGTGATGCTTGGTGGTTAGTTCAACCATCAGTCAGTTCATCTGTCTCTGCTGCTAGAATACAATGTTGTATTCTTTACTGCCAAATTATTTTCTTTAACTGTTATTCTGTAATTATACTACACTGTCTCCTCCTGGGGGGCACATATTTCCCTTGATAAAGTACTCTTCAGGCTGCAGTTTGTGGCCCGCCACAAGGAGAAAGCTATGTGTAATAGATCCCATCTGCCTTCCCCTTCACCTTGTGTGTGTTAACGACATGAGTTTTAAACGTTGGAGTCATTCTCTGAAACAACTACTTTCTTCCATACCGCTGCTGCCAATTAATGGCTGTCGTGTCTGCTAGAATTAAAAAGGAATGGATAAAGTTATCCATGTTGCTTCTAAGCTGCTGAAGACTAAGGAATATAACTGTGTATGCTGTAGCATAGGAGGACTTCCAGTAACATGATTACTGTTTCCTTCAGTGAGTCAGCTGGAGCTTTCTCTTTCTGTGGTATTTTCACTGTCTTATGTAGCTTTTGGCTACTGTTCATGGATTTAAAGCAAAATTTCTAATCTCTTCATTTAAGCTATCTTGTTAACCTTGTCATTTTGCCATAGTTGGCATCACTTGCTTGTCTCATGAGGTATAATCTGAGTTTCGTCTTTTGGATGGATCTTTGTACCCACAGATTCAGTCTTGTAATTCTAAGTACTGTATCTCTGAAGAATAGGCTTGCCCAAATACTCGACTTTCTTGTGTATGCTCTCATATCATATATCTTAAAATATTAGAATTTCCTCTTCTCTGACTTCAACAAGTGAGTGTCTTATTCAGATGCATTTGAACTACTTTGGCTTTTCTGCAGAACTCGCTGCCAGATGTCTCTGTATCGTGCTGGACTTCCATTCATATATACCTTTGTTCTCTGTTGCACCAACTGCAAACTGTCTTCACGCTTAAGTGACTTTGAGCCGCACTTAATTGTGTTCTTTCAATCTCCCTGTCTCCTCCTGTTACTTCCCTTATCTGTATGTCTGTCCTTCCTTGTTTCCCTCTTCCCTCTCTACACCAAATGACCCACACTGAGCTCTTTATTCCCGTCTCTAAACAACATGTGATCCCTGCATTTCTCTCCCTGTTCAAAATTCCACACATTTTCATTCATTCTAACATGGCTGTGCCAAATGTTGAGGGGAATGAGTATGTTCCTTGAGTGTTCATAGAGCAGCATCTTTAAATTCTCTTTTTTGTTGTTTATGTGACTTCTGGTAGGCTGTTGATGTGTGAGGACCATTGCTTTGTACTAATTATTTAGATTATCAGATTATCCCATTGCACACTTGTTATCTTTTCATTATTTTCTCATATTTATAGCAGATTCTTAAAATTTCTGTCTGTCTCTGCTCTTTGTTCATTAAGGACTTAACATGGTGGGATTTCAGTCTACATGTAAGACTGCATTGTGGTGTTATGAGTAATAAACGACATGATTTCCAATGGAAGATGGGGGAAGTAGATGAAGCTGGAAACATAACATTGCCACAGGGAATTGCTTTAACTTGCTGTGTAACAGTGATACTATTTAAAAAGAAGATAAAAAAGATTGTTGGGTGATGAATGACTCTGATTAGGGTTAGAGTACTCCATCTTCACCATTGTTTATAAGCAGTTACTGAGATCAAGGCATACCTTGTCTGTCTGTGCTTTCCTGCAGGCTTTTGGCGTGTATCATGAAGTCTGTAAATAAATGAAAGTAGCCTGTGACTTGCTTTTTACCAGGAAAAAAGAATTTGAGGAGAATTATTCAGGAATCCATGTGTTTGTGGATGAATTAGATCAGACCTATATAATGTACAGCCCACTGTGACATTGCTTGAACTGTTACAATGAGTTTGGCTAATCCAGTTGACTAATTCAGCGCTTATTCTGTATACTGTCAAAAGTAAAAAAGGTGCAATAATTGCAAGAATTGAGTTATTAGCATTTATCAGGCAGCTAAGAATCAGAAGGTCCAGGTGTTGCTTGTGTCTTTTTGCACATCTCATTCTGTTGCTGCTCTGCTGAGAACTCTAACAGAAAAGGATAGGAGGATGGAAAGAGGATTCATGAACATGTTAATTTATGTTTCAGATATTTTTGCTAAGAAAATGTTGAGATTTGGGAATCCTAAGAGCAGCTTCAGAGATTGTGCAGTGGCAGGGTATGGATAGATAGGGGTGTAAAAAGGAGATAAAGAATCAAGGGTGTGTGTTGGGTTGGAAGGGATGAGATCCTCCTTATGTCAGTTGAGGAGTAAGTTTTCAGTGCAGGCATAATAGGATAGACTTCAATATTAGTGGGCTGAGTCATTCACTTAGAGCAAAACAACTCCTGGCAAATAAGCATTAAGTCCTGATGAGGACTGATGGGTAAGCTGATATGGTACAGCTGATCTCATGTTTTAGAGATTTCTGCTAATCCTGTACATTCTAATCTAATGGGCTGCCTGCTTTCATTCCTCCATACCTTACCCAAAGAGAATATAAGTTATTGTGAGTGACAACTTTCTGATAGTAAAACTAGAAGAAAGGGAGTACAGCTTCTTTGTGGTTACTGTGGTAGAAAGAAAGGTTCTTGTTATATTGAAGGCAGGTAGAGAAAGGCAGGAGTTGCAGTCAAAGATGATTAACTGCCTTCAAAATTCCATAATAACTTGCTTTCTGTTTAACTGGCTTAAATAATTCAGATGTTATTAAAAGGCAGTGCTGTAAGAATCCCACAAATAGTCTGATAACAGGAAACAAGGCAGCTTCCTTCCTGCTTTGGCTCATGCTGTCCATTATAATACATAATGGCACTTCAGGAAGGCTTTGAAAAGACCAGAGCCCCTTTATACATCTGTTTCTAATAAATCTGCACCGTCATAGAAGAAATTATTTCTATTTTGGAATCGCTTGTAATTTACTCAGTAAATCTTCAGATATTTTTGGGTTTCTTGTATATGAGCACTCCGGAGCTGGGAGTGCCCGCAAGCTACTAAGTCCTTGCTGAATTATTTTCTGTCTCGTTTGAAGTTGTGGGCTCACCTGTTGCTGAAACCTGGTAGTCATTCCTTCAAAAGGGGATGTTCTAAAAATCTCTGAAGACCAAGCAAGTGAAAATGTCCTGCAAAGAAGTCTTTAGATTGATTTAAAAAAAGCCTAGTAAGAGCAGCTGAGGTTAAGCCTAAACCAAATGGCTTTCCTAAAGGAATGATCCTTGCCTGTGAGAAACTGAGATTCCTATCTTGATTAAACACAATAATTTATAATACACAGTGCCTACTGAATTCATGGTCCAAAGAAAAAAACACATTTTCTTCTCTGAGTAAAATTACAGAATCGTCTGAGTTGAAAAAGACCCTGAAGATTATCAAGTTCGTACATCATCCTGACCTACTGAGTCCCATCACTAAACCACATCCTTTAGAGCTTTCCACACTTCCCTTAAATACCTGCAGGGATGGAAGCTCCACTTCTCTCAGGGCAGCTTCTCCCTGTGCCTAACCAGCCCGTCTGTGGACGAATTCTTCTTAATATCCAATTGAAATCTCCCCTACACAACTTGAGTCTCTTTGTTTGCATCCTTTAATCAATCTTATACATTCAGGACTTATCAGTGAAGAGCAGTTTGGATAAACACTGCAAAAATTAGAGGGAAGTGAATGATTCTATTTCTGATAGAAGAAGCCATATGGCGTAATCCCTTACACAGCACCGAAATGGCTGCTTATTTTAGAACAGAAAACTGAAAGTGTTGGTGGAAACATTTTAAATTCAAATTAGTGAAATCATGCTTAAAATAAAGAACATGCAAAAATAAAGAACACTTGTGCTGCAGTTCATCTTTCTAGATCAAGAACCCCTTTTCTTGTCTATGGTCTAATCTTATGAAGAAAAATAATGACAGGCTGCATGCTGTACATGCAGAAAAAACGTCAGCATCTTTTCTGCAAAAGCAGAACTTTGAGTGAAGGGAGGAACTTAGCTTTTAAAGTAGTTCCTTTTAATCAGAGTATTGAAGTGAGTGTGGCTTTGACCATAATTTTGCACTACACTGGAGATTTGTAATGCTGTGAAACTTAATTTGTTAAGTTTTCCTTGAAATAATCCTTTGCATGCAGACACTGTCAGCCTTGTTGGAAAGGCTGTGTAATGATCACTTTCTTGAATGGATTTATCAGAACAATCTTCCCAAAATCTTTCTTATGGACCACATCTGAGAATTGCTTTAGTAGGCAGGTGAGTGGAAACAATATTTTGCAAGCCTAGCTGATTTTTCCCTGGAAATTCAAAGTAGAAATACATTTAAAGCTTTGTTTTCAAGATGCAAGAATGTATTCCTGTACTTGTTAGCTGAATTGATTTGTAGTCTGAACAGTAATCTTCCCTTTTCAGCTTGCCTGTTCCCCAGGTATATCTTCCTTTTGCTTATCTTAAGTAGCTGAGTATTATTTGCTTCACTGTAACATAAGCATCTGAGGTCCTCTTGGAGTGACATCCTAATAGAAATATGCTTCTGTTAGGTCTATATACTTCTATTAGATGCCTTCTATCTCTCCAAGTGTGCTTTGAACTGAAGTAGTGTTTTCATCCCTTCAGAAAACAGGGAGTAACTAGAGATGATGATGAGAGCAAAAGGAATAGTATCCAAGCCCAGGAAGAATTTTATGCTCATTTTGGTTTCATACTTTTTTCGTATTAAAAAGGAAGAAGAAGCAGAAGTAACTGTAGTGATCTCCTTGTTATTGCTGAAATTCTCTTGTGTTTCAGTTTGCCAAGAGATCTGATTTCTATTCCAAATGTTGTGTTTGAATTGAGTCTGAGATAGGTCCAGATTATTCTTACATTTTTTGCTTGTCATGTTTTCATTCCAGCAAGTAGATCTTTTGAGACATATCTGGTAGCAAAAGAATTATTGAATGAATTTATACATAAATCCTTTATTTATAAGTAGAGGAACTTCTGTTCCTGTTTACTTTCTGCTGCAGCTGTACTCCCTGGTAAGAAGAGCAGTGACAAGCAAGATAAAATGAAAGGCCATTGTCGTAGGCAGCTTTTTTTGTGCTCAGAAACCTTTCTCCTACTCTACTGTTGGTGCTGTTTGGTGTTTACAACAGTAAGCGCTCTTTCTGTTACTGTTTGACCTGTAGCTCTAATTAGTTAATACTTTTAAGCTTACTTAATGATTTACTAGTATTAAATATTCTTTTACTGATTGCCTGAGAAGCTACAATATCTGTGAAGCGCAGGGGTAATGAAAGAAGAGCATTTGTGTCATTTCAGATATTTGTTGAAATACTGTTATGATGATGAAGTTGTGGGGGCTTTACTAAAAAATTACTAATATTGTGAGTCCTTTGGAAAATTACCAGTGTTATTTTAACACATTCAGCATTCTAGTTTCTTACAGACATCAGCTTTGTTAACTTTAGAATATTGTTTTATCTCTGTTACTCATAAATGTTGTAAGACAGTGATGGTCCCCTCAAGTACAGAAAAGTCATACTGGCTAAAAAAAAAAAAAAGATTTTTAGAATCTCTATTAAATAGTTTGCTTTGATATAATTTGAATATGAAATTTAACAGTAGTGATGAGTTAAGATTCATGTCAATATTCTGATATTTCATTTAGGATGTTTTTCTGATTATGTGGAGTTACAGCACTTTGAGGGAGACACGAGGAAACAAATTGTTTGTCTACTTAATTTCTAGGTGGTCTTAATTATTTTATTGAATTTGGAACTTTATATGTTTAAATGAACATTAATTACGTTTTTCTCTTTTAGGGGAACGGCCATTTCAGTGTACGCTATGTGAAAAAGCTTTTAACCAGAAGAGTGCTCTTCAAGTTCACATGAAAAAGCACACGGGAGAAAGGCCTTACAAATGTGATTACTGTGCAATGGGATTTACACAGAAAAGCAATATGAAACTTCATATGAAACGGGCTCATGGTTACACTGGTATGTAGCGCAGTGTTAGCAGTGGCAAGTACAGGAAGCTGCATGGTTTATTAGGAAATCAGAAAATGTTTCCCCTAAGTCACTGAAGAATTAGACATCAATAAGCTGAAGAGTTGGTGAGCTAATGGTTGCACACGACCAAATTACACTTTGAAACAAATGGGTAACTGCTAATGGCTCCGTGGTTGTGGTGGAGCCTTCTGTTGCTAAAATAGAAAGTTCAAAACCTAGTATAGGGGAATAATTGCTTATATTGGTCTGTAGCTTTTGTGGGTAGCTTTTCCCAAAATGGTTTTTTTTTTTTTTTAATAGCATCTGTAGAATCTGTGATATTAGTATGATGCCACTGTTGAAATAGTTGCATAACAGATTTCCGAGTGTAATTTTTTTATTCACATGTAATAATTCTCAGCGTATTTCCATTTGTCTTACACTGCCCATCCAGTCATACTCATTTTCTTTTTTTCTTGTAGGTCCTGTGCAAGAACCTGCTAGTAATCAAGAACAAGAAGGGGAAGATATTAGTCGTGCTCTGAATTTAGAGGAAGTGGTACAAGAATCGTCAAATGAATGGCAAAATATAGGCAGTGTTTTTCGATGACACCTTGATGTCTGAAAGCTGACTTTTTTTTTTTTTTTTTTTTTGGAACTTGGGTTTCTCTAAAGAAGTTTTCAGAGAAGGGAAAAGTTGGATTTTACAGTTGAAACTTCAAGCATTGGAAATATTAACAATAAAATAATATATTATAGGATTTTTTTTTAATTATTTGCAAAAATTACCTAAAAGAATCGATGTCCTTTTTTTAAGCTTGTAGAAAAATATTGTGAAATCATCACTTAATCTGTGCTAAGTTGTCTGTGAATGAATGAACTCAGGTAATACTGTATACAGTTTCATCTTTTAATTCACAGCCAGTATATCTATTTGAAAAATGAACTGGAACTTCATACTAGAGTAGAATTTTTAAAGGAGGGGAATAATAACTTCATGGGAAAACCATGAAGCTGTTAGCTTTCTTTTTTTTTTTTTTCTTTTTACCTATTTAAAGAAATAATTGAGTTCAGAAACAAAATGTTACAAGTAGGTGCATGCAGTAAAAAGTAGTTCTTTTCTTTTTACAACTAGATGCATGCAGCAAAAGTAGTTCTTTTCTTTTTACAAGGCACGTGAAAAGGCTCTATTTTTGTTTTGTTAGTGCATTTTCAGAATGTTGAAATAAATTGCCATGAATGCATGGCTTTTCTTGAGTTATGCTCTTGAGAGAGAGCATGTTCATTTCCATTCCAACCACAGAGGCAGGTGGTTGTTTCTACATAAAAGTGCTTGAGGTTTATAACTCAGCAGTTACTATTTAAAGAGAATTCAAATCAGGAAGGGTTGCAAGGAAGGCCTCTTTTATGTTTGCTGTATTGGATTAGCAGGTACGTCTCCCAGTGTCTGTGAAAGGCACAGCCAAATGCTAAATTTGGGAAGTCAACATAAAGTTTTATGTTAGCAGTCAGAAAATGTGGTGCACGCTGTTACCTATGTTATACAAAATTCCCAGTGCTGTAAACAGTTACTTCAAATCTGTAAATTACTCATTGTTTTCTTTGTGGATTTTGGAAATATGTTACTTTTATTTGTTGTTTAAGTCATTGTTTCATCAAAACTACCTAGATGACTAAAGCAATGCTTTGAAAGGTGCCACTTAAATCTATTCATAGCAAAGAAACACTGGAGTAAAGACATAGTCATCTTTTAGACATTCCAAAGACAAGCTCTTTTCTTATTTTTACCTTGTTCTTTTGAATTTTATTTATATGTTACATATATATATAGATATATATGTGTGCTTGTGTGTATATATATATATGTATATTTAAAGTTATATGAGCCTCTATGTGGCTGATCAGTATATTTTGTAAATACTAATCCTGGTTGCAGGAAGTTCATCTTTTCGGTTTGCTGCAAGTACTCCTAGATCAGTAGTGGTTTCACTGTACTATAATACAGAGCTGAATTTTAATTTACATTCTGAAAGATGATTGCTCTCAGATCCAAAAAGCTCTCTTTTGTAAATATTGTCTATACTTTGTCTATGATACCAACTAGTTATTTCAGATTGCTGAAGCAAGAAATTACTGTTTTTTCAATAGGGCATCTCTTGATTCTTTTGTTAACTCTTTTGGCATATGTATATAAGTAATATAGTTGTTGACATGAAAATAACACTTTTGTTATGTGGAATATTTAATTCAAAAACATGTTAAATAATATTACTCTTTTCCTAAATCTGTTTTGTGTATTTTTTATTCCATCCTGAATTCTGGGAAACTAAAAGCAGTTTAACAGAAGCACGCCTTTATTTTATTTAAAGAGCGTATGTGACGATCTTCCAGCAGTGCCTTCCTTTCCAGACAGCAATAGTGTTTCAGCTATACAAGAAAGATATCTTTTACAGTTGCTTTCTGAAGGCCTGCTGACCCCTTGCATAGCAGGCTTTTTATGCATAATTGCATAGAATTAGGAGCTGTGTAATCCTGAATCAGTTCTGATGGGCTGTATGGTATATGGAGTGTATAAAACCATTTTGCTCCACTTTCAGAGAATAGCTTGTAAATGCACAGCAAAGTTGAGTGGAGCTGGTTTGTTGCATAGGTGATGACAAGATGATTTACAGCTGGTCGCAGTTCCATACTTCCTAATGACAGTGTGATTGCTGACTGCGGGGGGGTATTCATCCTGCTCTGGCTGTGATTGCTTTGCCAGCAAGTAACAAATGGTGGTGACTGATACTAAGAGAGCATGTACTAAAAGCAGACTATGTCATGTATAAAGTTTTAAAGTGGTCACTCCTCAAAGTGTTTTGGCTTGATTAGGGGCAGTGAGTGTGTGCTCCAAATCCTGGAAGTGACAGACAGCATGAGCTGTGTAATCCCTGACACTTTTCTTCAGTGCAGTCTGCTTCTCCTTTAGTGTTTGCACTCCTGTCAGTTAGAGTAAACAGACTTTCTAAAACCTGTTTTGTAACATGGTATTTTATTTGCTTCCCTCCCCACCACCCCACCTCTTCGTTGGTGAACTTCAGGAATCCATTCTCAAGTATCTTCATACAGAGATTTTTCATTGTTGAGGCTACTCAGTGAGATTGAATTGGAAGGGTTCCAAGCAGACCTTCAGTATGGATGCAGACACTAGAACAAACACATTACTAATGCTTTAGAAAACATTGAGTTAGATGCATCCTGTTTAGGAAGCAGAACTCTTATCCAAGGACTCTGTTGAAGAATCAGGTTGTGTTGTGCATAAGGGAACAAGGCATAGGAGTGCCTCAGTTCTTTCTGGGTTGTTGCAGCAGTAGGTTTGTGCTTACCCAAGGATTCCATTTGGTTTTATGTCCCTGCCTTCAGTACAAGAAATAATAAACATCTAGTGCTGGTTCTCTGTTCTCTTTTTTTTTTTTTTTTTTTTTTTTTTTTAAGAGTCATAGAGGCACTTATTGTGCTGTTTGGTTTTGTTTTCATCAAAACTGCTGAAAAATTAAGACTAGATTTCAGTCTGTCTCAGTCTTTCCCTCAAGACTTACGTTGGAAAAATATTGTATTATATTACCGTACCTTTTCTCCTATATGAAGTAAATTTTCAAGAAGCCATTTCCAGCCTTGGTTATTAGTTATTAGTTAGTGAGGGAAAAGAAGTGTGATGAAGTGGAGGAAGCAGCTTTAGATAACTTTTTACCTTAAATGTGCTTTTCTACTTGTGTAGAGTTCTTTGAAAATCAAATGGAGTATTACCTACTGTGATCGAGGAAGATACTGTTTGCTGTGCTTATTTACAAAGGCAGAATTTCATAGTTTTTTGTTTTTTTTTTTTTTTTTTTTAACTTGCAATGCCCCCCTGGGTGTCCCATGAATCCTGTGTCATAGCATGGCCCACAAGGCTGATGCTCAGGCACCACCAATGTCACAGGAAGCCTATGAACGTGCAACTGAGGCATTTTCCACTATCTTCAGCACTGAATAAATAGCAGGAGGAAAAAAGGAGCTTTTTTTTTTTTTGTACACAGCCTACATTACAAAAGACAAAACCGGTTCAAGTTTCATTACGTATCGATTACTTTATTTTGATAAATTTTAAAAGCTTTGTTCCTATAAGAACAATATGTCTTCAAATTAAATCCACTATTACGTTGCTGAGTATAAATCTGAATGAAGCTACAATAGAAAAATACACATAGCAAACAACACAGGTAACAGAAGATGTAATACGTGTATATAATTTTGGTGGGTTTGTTTTCCTTAGTCTCTATTTTCTATTCTCCATCTTCCCTTGCTTTGTATTAATGGACACTGAATATAAACCTACAATAGATTTAGATGTGAATTAACATACGTGTGTATAGGTAACTTCTACTGGACACATAGATGCAGTTTCAACTTGGGAAGCATTAACCTCAGTCTACAACACAGGCTAAAACTAAAAAAGGAAGTAATTAATCAGATGTCTAGAGAAGAGCTAGAAGGAATGGTGAGTTTAAGTAATAAAACAGTGCAATTCAGAAGAGCCTTGTATTTCTCTTCGTGTGGCTGGAAATACCATTGCCACACATTCATTTTAGTTATCTGTGAACAATTAATATCTAAATCTAACTCTGTTATAACTCATTTCTATGAGGCAACTACAGTACAACAGTTAAATGTTCACAGTAGTTTACTATGAGTTTGCTTTGGTGCGCTGCCCTTAACAGGCATTCAGATGTTACTCAGTCAAAAGAAGAGCCAACTAAATACAACACTGCTGCAATACCAAGAGCAAGGTTTGAAGTTCTCTCATGAGATGTGCAGGACTATCTGAGACACCAGTACTGAAGGGCTTTCTTTCAGAAATTAGACTTATTCATGTTTATATGTAATTACTTACTTTACTGCAAAGTTTATGCTGTTGCAGCAGTTTATGTGGAGCAACAGTGACGTCCAGTGGTCACATGTGTGATCTGATGTTTCGTTGCTGGGAATATCCCTTGTTTCTTTGCATTAGTCTAACTCAAATTTGAAATCCTCTTTCTCTCCCTCATCTACTCTTAATTCTAATGGTTTGGATGCGGTGAGCAATTTGTGGTGTGGAAAGCCGTTTCCTTATTGCCATTGCTCTGCATCGTATTGATTCTACTACATCTGCCCCCTCCCACATTTCACATACCTTGAACTCGCAATGTTTGGTGAACCTTTCCGTGACTGCCTAATCCTGTTATGAAAATAAATTATTCTGTGAGTGAGAGAAGGAAGATTAAAACAGAAACCAAAATCCCAAATAAATAAATTAAAAAAAAAAAGGATTTGGATAAACAGTCCTTACAACTTCTGCACATGATGGGTTTTGTGTTTGTTTTTACAGCAGTGTTTCAAAAGCTCATTAACGGCAGTGCTCAGTATCCAAGACATTAACTCTTTATTTGCGATTCTGACCTTCGCTAAAATGAAACCATAAGGCTGGAGCTCAGATTAGGAGCCTGGGAGAAATAATGAAGTCCAGCATACAGTTAGGGCACCCTGAAGGAGAATGAGTAAAGTCAGACATCTTGTTACTCTACGTAAAACAGGGAGAACAGCTAGTAAATCTACTTTGTGTGTTCCTTTCATTCAACTGTTGGTCAGGGATTGCCAATAGAAGTTTGTATTATCTACTGCATGCAGAACCTAATTGGCACTAAATAATGGACTGCATCTAACTAGGTAATTCTTGCAGTTGTTATTAATTTTAAGGCAGTTAGATTATGAAGCAGAGTGCGTGAATGATCCTTGAATGGCATTGTAGAGCTTCAGCGCCTCGCAACTGGTGAGCCAGACCGCGATCCAGGCCGGGAGCCAGAGCCTCCCTGGGGAAGGAGGAATGGAGTTAATTAACAACAAGGTACTGTGTGTGTGGGGCTACGTGTTGAAAAATATCAGTCTAATACAAAACCTTACATATCTAAATGAAAATGACTCTGGTATATTGCAAAGTCTTATTTGAATTTTTGTATGAACCAATTGCTTCTCATATACTTTCACATAGGATTCATTTATTCTCATTAAATTTCTCATATGTAGCTAGGCAGGTGTTAGTTGTACATGCATGTTCTTATTCAGGTCTTCCTTATGAAAGCGATGTGTTTGTACATCCAAAAAAAAAAAAAAAAGAAAAAGAAAGAAAGAAAGTGGCTCTTGATCTTGATTATATTTGTAACAATTCATACATTTGAGAAAAGCCCTACGTCTTTTTTAGCAAAGGAGATCCAAGCTGAAGGCTTGGAATTTTTTTAAATTATTATTTATTTGAGATTTGGCTAATTTCTTTTCCCATAAAACACACTTTTCATGTGTCTTTTTCCTTTTTCCTTACACAGAAGGTTAAAAAAGGTTGGCCTATGTTCTTCTGTGATGCTCTGGAGTTGCACCAGGCAGAGACTTGCATGGTGAGAAACTTTCTTTTGGAGATTTACACAGGTGAGATCCAGGCTCAACTCTGAGTGGTTGTTTTGATTCTTAAAGCAAGCAATGGATTGGAGCCCTTCTGAAATACTTGAACTGGGAGTGATTTGTAAGTGGGCATTTCAGGATAATTGAAGTATTTAACTTCTATTTCTAAAGATTCTATTTGTAAAACTGAACTATTCTGCATTTTCAGTTGCCTTTTTTTATAAAAAACAAACCAAAGAAACCATTTACCTGAAGCCTAATCTCTTGTCAAATGGTTTACCTATTTGTGAGGTGGTTTTATAAGGCAATTTCTTTGTGAATGCCTACTTCCTTCAAAGGTTTATGGAAACGTGGCAGCTCCTGGAGAGGTTGAGCTGCACTCAGCTTTTCTCTGGGCTCAACTGTTTGCACTTACAGTAAGTTCAATTGTACTTTACCAGTTTAAAGATTTTGGAAAGAGTGCCCTGGCCCTCGTGATAGGATCCCTTGTGTCCCTTGTGAGCAGATTTGTGCTCATAGAATTTTCCACTTCCGTATCCCGGCTTGTGTCCTTCACCACCCTGCAAAGAAAGAGTTTGGTGTATGTTTCAAATCAGCATTGGCGTTGTGCATATTCATATGGTAATCTTTTGTTGTCATCGCTGAAAAATAGAGAGTCTTAGAGGAGACGCAATAAAATGATCTTTTAAGTAATAAGCTGGAGTGAAGGCAAGCATTAGGAGGTTTTTTCAGTGTGCTGATACCTGAGGGAAACAATCTGTAAAAGAAGAATTAATAATCAAAAGCGGATGCTGAGAGCATTAACCTGCATGACAAAACTTAAATAAAAAATAA